TAAAATGTCTTTGGAAAACCTGGATTTATCATTCCCAATCATATTTCCTTATGCAGGACTTATCAGAGCCTTCAAATGTGCTCATATATGTTGTGAATTTTCAAGGAGACAGTGAAGTGTTTCGTAACTTATTTGATCCCTGAATGCCTCTTTCCCAGAACCTTTTCTTGGGAGAAATGCTGGAGTGGCTACATCACTCATAGTTGGTTTTAAGGCACAGTGGCCAGTGGAAGGGAGTTGTTGGACCACAAGCAAGGGAGACCAGCTGAGGTGTGGGGAAGAAAGTACTAAGTCTAGGGGTCCATTCCATTGTAACTGGGGCAGAGATCCCAATCACATACCCCCCCCCCCCCCCCCCCCCCGCCAAAGAAGGATGTTTGTGACCCTGGTGATCATTCTAAATGACGGGACAGGCACAAAGAGGTCAGAGTATGCCCAGGAGCCAGAAGGCAAACCAGGATCCCCTGATCTTCTGGTGTGGGGCTGGAGTCCACTACGGCCTCTTTTCTCCCCTCAGGGTCCCCGCGCTCCCGGTGAAGAACTTGAATGGTACCGGGCCAGTCCATCCGGCCCTGGCAGGTGAGATCCAGCCCTGAAGTGGCAGAAGGGTATTGGCCCATGAGGAGGAGGCCCTACCTATCTGCCCTGCGGCTCCGCCCCTTGACGGGACTAGTGGGCGGGGCCCAGAGGAAACGTCCCACTGACATTGTGGGGGGACTGCAGAAGGCATTCCACTCGGCTTCCACCCGCGGTGGGGCGCAGGGGTCCCCAGCCTACCCACCTGAAGGCTCCGGGATTCCCGGGCCGAGCAGGTGGGCGGGGCCTGAGGAGGGCTCAGGCGCTCACCCAATGGCGGGAGGGAGGGGTGGGAGGGGACCAGGTGGGTGCCCCGCCCCCTGACGGCCCCGCCCTCTCTCCAGGGATGACCGGGATCCTGCTGTGTGCTGCGGGCCTGCCGGTATGCCTGACGCGGGCCCCCAAGCCCATCCTGCACCCGCCGCCTGTGAGCAAGAGCGACGTCAAGCCCGTGCCCGGGGTGCCCGGGGCGTGCCGCAAGACCAAGAAGAAGCACCTCAAGAAGAGTACGCCTTCCGCGCTGACCCTGACCCCACTAAGCTCACCCTTGACCCCAGCGCCTCTGACCCCTAACTCCAGTTTGTTCATGGGACTTAGAACTCCACCTCCATCTCCTGATCTCAGCTCCCTTTCCCCTGACCCCCTCTGCCACCAACTCTGAGTGCGGCAACCGCTGACAGGTGACTCCTGCCAACCCCTCTCTGACCCCTGACCCCGTCCTGAGCCAAGCCCTCAGGGGGAGATTCTAGGCACCCTCGAACCCACCCCGCTGTGTCTTTGCAGGTAAGAACCCCGAGGATGTGGTTCGAAGGTACATGCAGAAGGTGAAGAACCCGCCAGATGAGGTGAGCCCCCACGGGCGGGTCCTGGCCTGGGCAGAGGGCGGCGACCTCCCATCCTCTCCTGTGGTTCTGTGTGTCAGTGTCTCCTCCCAGTCTGGGGGTTCGCCTTTTCCATTTTATGCAGTGTCTTGTGATAAACAGAAATGCTTTAATGTAATAGAATCACATTTGTCAATCTCCTGAAGAATGACAGTTTTCATATCTTATTTTCACCCGTATTTTCCACCCCATATTTAAATTTTTCTTTTGTATAGTTAAAGCTGTAATACCTCTGGAGGGGGGCTGCGAGGGGGGCCCCGTCTTCCTCTGCCATGTGTCTGCATTCAGTGTAAGGGGGTGTCCTCGCCCTTTGCCAAATGGGTACCAGAGGCAAGGCAGTCTGACACCCTTGGGGACTTGGGGTCCTGGGGGCGTGGCCCCGCCCAGGGGCCGCGCCCACCTGAGGGTATCCTGCCCTGGCCGGTCCTCAGTCTCCTCTCTGTGCCCCTGCCCCAGGACTGCACCATCTGCATGGAGCGCCTGGTCACAGCATCCGGTTACGAGGGCGTGCTTCGGCACAAGGGCGTGCGGCCCGAGCTTGTGGGCCGCCTGGGCCGCTGCGGCCACATGTACCACCTGCTGTGCCTCGTGGCCATGTACTCCAATGGCAACAAGGTGGGCGGCGCGGGCCAGTGGGTGGGGCCAGTGGGTGGGGTGCAGGCAGAGGGGCGGGGCCGGGATGCCTGGGGGCCTCACCGCCAGCCGCTGTCCCCGCCCCAGGATGGCAGCCTGCAGTGCCCCACCTGCAAGGCCATCTACGGAGAGAAGACGGGCACTCAGCCGCCCGGGAAGATGGAGTTCCACCTCATCCCCCACTCGCTGCCGGGCTTCGCTGACACCCAGACCATCCGCATTGTCTACGACATCCCCACAGGCATCCAGGTCACCCCCGCCCTGGCCCCGTGGTCTCAAATCCTCTGAACCCTGCAGAGCACCCCCCTTCCCACCTATCTGCGGTTCAAGCCTGTGCTCCCCTCCCCACAGGGCCCCGAGCACCCCAACCCAGGCAAGAAGTTCACCGCAAGAGGTTTCCCGCGCCACTGCTATCTACCCAACAACGAGAAGGGCCGGAAGGTGGGTGCCCTGAGAGTACAGGGGTGTGGAAGCTGGCCAGGGTCCCCCTCACCCCCAGTCCCTGTTTTCTCTCTGCACCAACAGCGACCACTACCCCCTAGTGCAAGTCCAGCCCTGCCAGTTGCTTCACACCCCCCCATCTCATCTGCAGCTTAGTGAGGTCAAGGTCTTGACTCCATTTTACAGAAGTCTCCGACAGGGCAAGTGACTTGCCCAAGGTCACATAGCTAGTAAGTGGGAGAGCCTGGATTTCACCCCATGCAGTCCAGGCTCTTCACCACCACACTCCCAGTTGTCGGCCTCACTTCCTGTTTTTCAAGAGAAGTCCGACCTTCTGACTTTCATGTGAAATCTCCAGTTTTTTGAATATTGCCCCGGAAGTCACCAAATTGCTATTTAGCACACCAGATACAGCTGAGGGCCTTCCATTTGTGACCCAGATGAAACAGGCAGAGAGCCTGGAAGGAGCTCTTACTGGGACCCCATCTAGGGACACGGCCAGGCTGGGTGGCCACTGGGAAGGCTGCAGGGCTTAGAAGGCACTAACGGAGCCACAGAGTGGCCAGGGAGGGAGGGAGGCTGGACTAGGGGGCATTGGATGGGGGCTCCAGCCACAGGGTGGGGCTGCGGGGGCCCTCCCCTCATGCCCACACCTGCCCGGGTACCTGCCCACCAGGTGCTCAGGCTGCTTATCACGGCCTGGGAGCGGAGACTCATCTTCACCATCGGCACATCCAACACCACGGGCGAGTCAGACACCGTGGTGTGGAACGAGATCCACCACAAGACCGAGTTTGGGTCCAACCTCACAGGCCACGGCTACCCGGACGCTAGCTACCTAGACAACGTGCTGGCGGAGCTCACAGCCCAGGGCGTGTCCGAGGCTGCGGCCAAGGCCTGAAGCCCGAGGCTGCCCACCTTCCCTCCTGCTTGGCCCCCTGGTCCGGCACTTGCCTCCCTCCGCCAGGTGTGTCCTGGCGGCCCAGGTTCAGGGCTGGGGAGGAGCCTGCGGAAGGAGCCAGAAGCATTCTGGAGATGTGGCTGGAGGTAGTTGGGATATGCTGGGAGGATGGCAGGCCAGCCGGCTCTGACTTATAGCTCCCCGAGAGGGTGGCGGAGAGAGTACCAGGAACCACAGCAACCTCCCTACCAAAAAGACAGAGCCCCACCCCCTCACGCAAACACACGTGTCCTGTTGAACACATGCACGCACACCCACGTGCCTCTACTTACCCCCAGACTGGGGGGGAAGAGACAGAAGACCCCTGTGATACTCCATATGGATTCCCATCTGTGTCTCTATCACATCAGTACAGGCTTGTCCACAGGCAGGATTCAGGTCAAGCACCCTGGGGGCCTGCTGGGGCTCCAAGGGGTAAGGGGCCCTTGGGAAGCTCAGCCTCTCACCACCCCCCCATCTCTGTCACCCATCTCTGCCACTCACTGATGGGCAGTTGTGGGCCCATGGGGTAGAAGCCCCAGCTTAGTCAGCAGGTTTGCAAAGGGGCAGGCCAGAGAGAAGGGCCCCCCCTCGAGAGAGGGCCAGAGGGATCTTATTCTGTGCTGGTGTCTCCATCCTTCTGGGACTCTGACGTCCTTCTTCTCCCCTCCCATCCCCAGGCCTTATGTCTGTCCCAGATAAGGCACTGTTCTCCTTTCCTCCCCACTCCATCCTCTCCACCAAATGCTCCCAAATGTCAAGATCCAAAGGCTGGAGCTTCTGGCTTCAGGAATAAGACAAGGAGGCCTAGCTTAGGCCAGCAGGTCTAAAAAGCAGACCGGACAGCAAAGAGTCCATTTTGCTTTCCTTGGGAGTGGGCAGTGGGGTGGCTGATGGTCTTGGCCAACCAGGGGCCTGTTGCCCAGGCAACTCACCAGCTCCGCCTCTGTTGATTGGCTGCCACGGTGGAAGTCCGCCAAGATTTAAAGGGACGCCAGCGATTGCTCTTTTGAAAACCTACCAGTCCCACTGTGGGTGGAGAAATAAATGGTCTTTCTCCTCCTCAGTCTTTTCCTGCGGAGGGGTGGAGTCGGGTGGGTGGCTCTGTCCCTGGGGGGGGGGGGGCTCTGGCCCACCCCATCGGGGAGTTTGCTACAAAATGATGGCCCCAGGACCATTGCCCCTCTCAGCCTTGGGCAGCTGGAGATGGAGGGTCCCCATAATTCTCTAGTCTTAGGGCACACAGGGAGTGTGAGGGTGACAGAGGCAGGCCCTCCCAGCCCTAGACCCCAAGAGGTGGGCCTGAAGGTGCTGTTCTCAGGCACGGCCCAAGGCAATGCACACAGCTGCTCCCTAGTAGAGAACTGGGAATGAGGGGACTCCCCCCCCCCCGCAACAGTACTGGGAATGAGGGACTTGGGCTGGGAGCTGAGAGCTTTCGGAAAAACATGGACGAGCTGGGAGACACCGTGACTGGCCCCTCGAGCCCCAGCCCCTGCCCTAAGAAAGGAGGGGCGGGTTCTGTCTAGGGACGGATCCCAGGAATGCAACAAGCTTCCTATCAGCAAGGCATGCTGGGTGGCGGAGGCATATTCTGCGGCTCCAGGCGACCCCTGCTGGCCACGCTCGGGATAGCGCTGCATCTTCCTGGGTCCCCCTAATCTCCAGATACGCTTTGGTTTCTGTCCCACCCTCTAGTCACACAAAAACCAGAAATGAGTCCTTGGAGGCCCTTCCAGTTCTGCCAGTTGGGTGTTCCCCAAATATTTTACCCTCTATGACTCATTCTCAAACAAAATCTCACCTCAAACCCCACTATACAAAGTTGCCCAGCCCCGTGATCATCAAATCCTGTGTTCGACCATATCACCAGGGGAACTTGTTAAAAATCCTGGTCCATGTGCCCACACTCCTTCAGATTCTGATTCAGTAAATCTGGGTGGGGGCCGAGAATCTGCATTTCTAGCAGAAAACCTAGGGGGTGAGTTTTGGACCACAACAGTCTAAGAAACGCCTCCCTGGCTCCCAAACCAGTTCCACGGAACCCAGTTTGACAACCACACATCTAGACACTCCCTCATTTTATACAGCATGAACCGAGGCTCAAAGAGGGGGTCAGAACCTAGGCCAAGGTCTCCCAGGCTCCAAGGGTCTGAGTCTGGCACGCTGAGCTCCAAGCCTCCATTATTCCCGAGGGAACCAGATTCTGGAAGCTTGCGGTTAGGACTCTCGGCCAAGGCAGGGTTCAGGAGGATCACTGAGGTTACACGGATTGGCAGACATGAAAACAGGAAGGGCTGAGCCTCTTTAGTGCCTGTCTGGGGCAACAAGGCCACGTGGGTGTCGGGGATTCACAGACAGCTGTATCCAGCAGCTCAGGACCAGGTGGGCCCCGTCGGTGTGGGCAGGAGCCAGTCTGGTTTAGCAGAGACCTTCCACTGAGCCGAATGAGTCAGGCTCCTTATCCCATCCACTCCCATCTGCCTCGCCCAGAGACTGAAAGTCATTCAGTACAAAGGCCAGCCCCCTGCCACAGGGCTTCCGTGCCCGGGATTTTGCACTTAGGGCACAGAGACTAGGAAATCTCCAGAAGCCTGCACCCTACAGCATCAATGAGGAACAGGACAGCCTCAAGACTCCAGGGTGCTCTGAGAGGGGGTCCTCTGGCGCCTTCCTTCCCCTTCCAGGCTGGTTCTGGCCTTTTCTCAGTGCCCGAGGGGGCTCAGGGCTGCCCTCTGCTGCTCCCACTGCTGGAACTCTTCATGGGCTCTGTCCAGATCTTCGAGCACCTCCAGCAGGCGGGCAGCTGCCTCTCTGTGCCGGGCCAGGGCACTGGGACAGACCCCTGCGAGGGAGACAAGGAGCCACGGGGGCTCAGCCAGGCCTAGGCAGGCTGCCATAACCTAGACCCAGTGGCTTTCTCAGGCTCCAGGTTGACCCTATGCCCTGAAAGCCCACACACTCCATCCCCCCCCCCCGATTCACCACACTTGCTGGTGAACTGCGAAGGGGAGGGGAGTGGTGAAGGACATAGTCGTGTGTTTGGCAAGTTATGGCAGGTGGCAGAGATGGCAAAGAAATGGGACCTCCTTAGCCGCTCACCTTCCGTGGCCCCGGAGCCCTTCTCTGCATCTGCCTCTGGACTGGAATCTATGTTGAGATCCTCCTGGAATTTCATCCTGGAAGTTGAAAGGGAGAAAGACAGGGTTGGTCCCTGACTCCCGATCTTGTTCTCCACTCCGGAGATTCTCTGCTGGTTGCAAGAGACATGACAGGTTCCCACCTGTCACCATCACCACCACCATTATCACAGCAAATACTTACAGAGTACCAGACACTGTTATAAGCCATTCCCATGTATTAACTCATTTAAGTGCCACAAAAGATGTATCCAAGGTAAGGACTTACTATTGCCTCCATTATACAGTCCACTGAGACACAGAGAGGTAAAGTAACTTGCCTAAGGTTGCACAGCATAATAACTTGCTGTCTATGCTGTGACTGGGCATCTACAAAATGCCTTACCTACATTAGCTCGTTTGACCTCTCAGGACAACTCCAGGAGGAAGGTACTATTATTATCCCTGTTTTCCATATGAGGAAACAGAGGTACAGAGAGGGTAAGCAATGTGCCCGAGATCACACAGCCAGTGAGTGGCCAGCCCAGAATTCGAAACCAGACAGGCCAGCTTCAGAACCCACTCTAGAAGGAGCTGGAACAAATCGGTCACTGGGTAGCACTGAAGCCCACCAGGAAGCCCACAGACCATCCAAGGTCTGTGCCCGTGTCCCCAGGGACCCGGATATGAAAAGATCCAAGACCCACTTCTGCACTGGGGCCTGCCTGAGGATGCCTCCCCGTCCTCCCCTTGAACCTGCACGCCATGCACCGGGAAGCTCAGCTGAAAGCGGATGGAAAGAATGAATAAATGGACGTGGGGGGCCATGCTGGGCAGCTGGCCCGGCTGGCCATTGTGGGGTGGGGGGGAGGAGGCTGGGCAGGGGCACCCACCTGAGCTGGTCCCGCCCCAGGAGCAGCTGCCGGTACACCATCTGGATCTCAGCGTCAGGATCCAGTGGGTCGCTCCAGTCCCCCAGGGTGACGGCCGAGTGTGTACGGCTGCAGCCAGCAGCTGAGGGGGACACGGCACCATCAGGACCGCCTCCCATCACCCCCTCCAGAAGCCCCCACTGCTGATGGTCCCCAAGCCCCTGACCCTTCTGCCTCTAAACTCACTCTTCTGACATACTACTTCCATCACGCCCCACTGCTTCCACTGCCACCCAGCATAGCGGTAGCCTCACCTCCTTCTAGCCTCCTCCCACAGTCCGGGCTCCAGCCACGCAGACCCTTTGCAATCTTTCAGCCCTCCCTCTGCCGCCTCCGGGTCTTTACTCATGCTCTTTGCTCTGACTACACTTCCTTACCCCATCCCTGTCTCCAACTTTGTTGCTTAACGCCTACTCTTCTCAGTTGACATCGAAACAGCACCTCCTCCATGAAGCCCTCCTTGATCTCCTACTCAGGGGCTGGATCAGAGGCATTCTCTGGCGTCTCAAAAGCCTCATCTTGGTACTTAGAAGACTGTATTACAATTGTCTGGTTATTCACTTGTCTTCCTCTAGAGCATGCCTGATGTCTGTGTTCCACTAGATGCTTAGCACATAGTAAGTGCTTAAAAAAATAAGACCTCATATGTACTGAGCACTACGTGCTCGACAGCGTTCTGTGTGCTTTGTGTCTATCAACTCACTCACTCCTCACAACCCTAGGAGGCAGGGACTGTCATCAACCCCATTCCACGCTTCAGGAGACTGAGGCATAACGAGGTTAATTAAGTAACTTGCCCCAGGTTGCTCAGCGGCCGGAGGAGGTGGGGCATCCGCTGATTGACAGGTAGGGAGGGCCGAACCCGAGCCCACCCTGCCCTTCACCTGAGCGCTCAGCCTGGAGGCAGCAGGTCCAGCGCGAGCTGCGGAAGGCACCAGGGTGGCAGGAGGCCAGCTTGTCCGGGTTGGGGGCGCTGGCCTTGCGCAGGGCTGACAGCCATTGGTTGAGCTCATTCACATTCTGCAGGAAGCCGGGGGGGGGGGGATGTCAGGGGTGCGGAACCTAAGGGATGCCCTCCTCCCCATCCTTGTGGTGCCTTACCTTGCACTGGAGGTAAGTGGTGTGCAGCACGCCCGCAGCGTCCTGCGTTAACACCTGCATCACGTGCGGCAGCTGGAAGGCGCCCTCGTCCACGCGCTCCACGGCACGGATGTGAGACACAGGGATGGAGGAGCGCATCTGGGAGACAGGTCTGTCGCTGTAGGGCGGGCTGGGGGCCGGGGTGGTGGGGCCCAGGGACAGCTTTCTTTTGGGGATGTTCCCCGGGGGTGTGTCTGTAATCTGGGCTCATGACCCCTGTCTTGAGCACTGAGTCCCCCAGTCCTGCCCCGACTGCCCCGTCTAAGGAAGCACCGACTCCCCGGGGCACCAGTGTCCATCACCGCCATCCACCGGTCAGCCCAGCAACCACATGGCAGACATGGCAGACAGGATGTGCTTTCCAGCACTCCGCAGTTACCAACTTACACCAACTTCTGAGGCTGGGTCTGTGTGCCGAGGAGGAAACTGAGGCCCAGGAGGACCCATGACCCTTCTGAGGTCACTCAGCTAGTAGAGCCAGAGTTGGAAACCAGGGATTAGAACTCTAGACTCTATGCTTTGCTGACAAAGTGGGAATAATGAGCAAGCACGCCCTGCCCAGTGTTAGCTACCATGCACCAACGTGCAGGCACAGAACTGCGCGCACACACCAGCAGGTGCCTGAGTTCTGCTGCATTTCAGTGGCAACCCTACGAGAACAGGAATCCCATGCCTTGTTTACTGCTATATGTCCAGCGCCTAGAACACTGCGTGGTATGCAGGAGGCATTCAATCATTGTTTGACGAATGACTGAGTCAACAAATGGCCGTGTGTGTGTGTGTGTGTGTGTGTGTGTGTGTGTACCTAGACATCCAGGCGGGGACCTCTGGGAGAGCAGATCCAATTTTACGTGAGCAGGATAGCACCAGCCAAAAGACGTCTGATGCCTACGTCTGTACTGTGCCCACACTGGCCCAAAAGGTGTGAGCAGAGCCTGGCCTGAGACTTTGGACCTGTTACCTTGCCCCCTCCCGGACCTCAGTTTCCCCCTGCTTACAGAGAGGCAGCTCAGGGAGGGAGGCCGCTGCTGGAAACCGCCTCCTCCTCCCCCCCCCCCACGCCTTCCCTCCTGCTCCCCGCCCTGGCTGTGGGCTAGAGCCCCACCTGCCACTCAGGACTCTTGGAGTAGGAGAGCGCCTCCCCGCTGAGCCAGAAGTACCGCTTCTTGAAGGCGAAGCGGGTGGTCAGGCTGGTGGGCTCCTCCTTGCGCTTCAGCAGGTAACCTTCACGGACGATCACCGAGGGGGCCACCAGGGCCCTGGCTGGGCCCCCAGCCTCTGGGAAATGGAGAGGGGGGGACAGTGAAACCCTCATATCCAGGCTCAACCTGCCCTGCTCGCGTGCCCAGGTGCCTCTGTGGTGAAGCGTGACTCTGCCCCCTAGAGGCAGGAGGGTGAACAACAGGACTGCTGCAGAGGGCTCCTGCTCTTAGTGGATCATGGAAGGTGGGGCCGGGGAGCAGCACAAAGTAGGCAACCAGGCGTCCCTCTCCTGAAGCTCTGTAGACAGTGGTGCAGGCAGTCAGCAGAGGGGGCATGCCTCATGAAGTCAGTCCAGTGAGTACATGGGATCTAGTCCCGCTTCCATGGGGGGTGATCCTCCCCAATGCCACAGGGACCCTGCCATGCCACAACCGGGGCTCCGCATTCCGACAGGTTCCTCTTATGTGACTTGGACCCAACTATATAGTGCACTGGGCCCTATACTGTGATACAGACTTAGCCCCAACTCTTCTGCTTAAAAAACTGTCCCAGGCTCCATTTCACTCCCCATCAAAGCCCAGCTGCCTATGAAGCCCCCACACAGTCTGGCCCCCACCTCTCCTTTGTGCCCCCTCATTCCCTCTTCTACATTGGCTCCTCCCTGTGGTTCCCTGTTCGCCACCTCGGGACCTTTGCACATACTGTTCCCAGCCTGGAATAGTTTTCCCTGGGATGTTCATGGCATGCTCTCTGTCCTCCTTGGGGCTTTGCTCTGATAGCACCCTAATGAGACCATTTCTGGCCACCCCACCTAAAATCTCAACCTGCCACCCCCACCCCAACATTCTCTTCCCTCTGTTATTTTTTCTCCCTACACAATCACTTCCGAACATACTGTACTATTTGCTAACTCCTCTTGCTTTTAGCCCATGGTCCCTGCTAGAATAAGAAACCTATAAGGGTTTCTTCTGTCTTGTCCACTGCTATTTCCCCAGCACCTGGAACAGTGTCTAGTAAGCACTTAAGAGATATTTTTTTATTGTGTGCACACCATGCGACAGCACCCACACACATCTCCACATTGGCTGGGATAGCCTGGAGGACAGGGCCTGAGCTCTGTTCATCTCTGGGATTTAGCACAGGAGGGGCCAGGAAATGTTCGTTGACTGACTAGCTGACCCACAAGTCCACAGTCTCAGTACTGGGGTGGGGTTGTGGGAGGGGGAAGGGCAGGTCCCAAGGGTCCACAGAGTGACAAGCCAGATGTGGCAGGAATGCAGGGACTCACCCTCCTCCCCATCCACATCCACCAGCTGGTCCAGGAAGTGTCTCACACGTGAGATACTCTGTAGCAGGAAGGGGTGGAGGGGCGCCATCCATAGCTCCTTGCCCTGGCCCAGCTGCTGGCCTAAGTTTCCGATGCTCTGCACAGCCTGGAGTAAAGAAGCAAGGGATGCCAGGGCGAAGGTCACTGCTGGGGGAAGGGCTGCCTACAGACCCAGAGCAGAGCCCCTGAGTCCTGACTCTCAAATCAGTGCTCAATGAATGGGGAAGACTCATAGCAGCACCTGCTTCGAACAATATCTACCCCTCCCTGTGGACAGATATGCACCCCCAGTGCCCTTATTCTGTTCCCTCCAGAGCTCGATTCCCCTACTAAGAACTGCCCTATCCTATCATGCATACTTTGGAGCCCATCAGAACCTCAAAATATGGCCACTTTGCAAAGGATGGTCTAATTCACCCTAAGGTGTAAGTGACTACCAGCCCGCTTCCCACTTTCCTCCTGGAAGGGTAAGGTTTTCATTTTAAGAGACAAAATTGGAGAACATATGAACGAATGCCTTCACATTCAGGATAGAAGGCTAATAGGTGTTTGAGATGGATTTCTCTGGGTGTCATTTGGGTCTTCTGTCAGTTTGGCCTTCCAGCTCTGTTCCTATGCTTTTCCCTGGCTAAGAACACCCAAGCTGTGGGACTCCAGTTTTGGCACCTTGGCAAGCAGTAGCAGTGAGCGGCTGGTCTGGGGATCTGCATGCTGGTCCCGGAGGTCAAACAGCTTTGGGGTGAGGATGGCAGGCGCAAAGAACCGCAGGAAGAGAAAGCCGCTTATGGCCAGGTACTTCACATCCTGCCAAGAGGAGCAGCAGGTGAGAGGAACCCCCAAGGACCCACTTCCCAGACAGGGAAACTGAGGCAGGAAGGACAACAGATTGGTGGTGCAAGGGGAAGCGGGATGGGAGATTGGCCAGAAGACCATACTGGTCTGCCAGGATGGCTTTTTCTCTCTGGACCTCAGTTTCTCCACCTGGAAAATAGAGTAACAATACCAATCCTGCATGATCAGCTTTAGCCCAACATCCTCAGAATCTGCTTTGTGCCAAGCACCGTGCTAAGGGCACAGACCTAGAAAGGAAGCAGCATCATTATTCCTCTTTTACAGAGGACGAAGCAGAAATTCAGAGATGCCAAGTGACTGGCCCAAGGTCACACAGCAGATGCGTGGAGGAGGCAGAACTCGATCTCCCGACCTATGATTTATTTTATTAATAGCACCATGCCAGATAACTGGCCACACATTTGTTTATTTCATACTCACCCTGGGAGGGATTCTATCTCCATTTTACAGGGAAGACAACTGAAGCCCAGAGAGAGGTCACCTGCCCAAGGCCACATAGCTGTAAATGGCAGAGCTAAGACTTGAACCCAGGCAGGACCGGAGCCCTCGGCTCTTCATCACACTCTCCTGCATCCGACCCTGCACACCGCCTGCTGAGTTGTCAGGAGCTCATCTCAACCGCTAATCATCCCGTGGAGTAGGTACTCTTGTCCCCATTTTCTGGATGAGGACACAGGCTCAAGAGTGAACCCAGCCCGGCTGGCTCCTGAGCCTGTCCTGGGTGTACCCCCCGCCCCAGGCTCTGCCTCCTACAAACTGTAAAGGGCGGTGCCCCGCTGTGTGAGTCCCGGACCTGGCCCACCTGCAGGTGAGTCCCGGGCCTGGCCTACCCCCAGCGCTGGCAGAGGCAGCTCAGAGAGAGGGTGTGCCTTTATCCTGGGTGCATCTGGCTCTCCCCAGATCACTCCCCACCTACCTTTCACACTTGCCCGGCTATATTTAGCCCAAGAATGTACGCCAGTATTTATTTAGGGGCCGTATTCACACTCGAGACAATACCCTCCCTGGGTACGTGCCAACTTCCTACGGCACCTCCGTGCTGACAGTGAGCCCTGGCGACAGCCGGGTTCCTGATGCTGCCCAGGAGGTGGGTCTCTGCCCCCAGCCCCGCCCTCATCTGGGACCTGAGCTGCCCCCAAGGCCACCACCCCCCTCCCATCTGCCGTATTCCAGGGTAATTTTAGTCTTTGACATCAGCTCTGACTTCCTTTCTTGAGGAGGAACAGGTGTCAGAGCGGCAGAGAAAGGAGTTCCCCTGGGTTTCCGTAACCCCATTCACCCTCGTGGGCCTGAGACAGTCCCTGCTCCCTGCCCACGGCCTCTGCCCACCGTGGGAAGTGAGGACTGGAGGACACTCGGGAGTCACACTGGGTCCCTCACAAGGGCCAGGCTGTCTAGGGAGCTGGCCTCCCCTCTTCCCTTCCCTCCTCCCTGCCACACTGTGTCCCACTTAGCACCCACAGCCCAGGTGAGAGCCTGGCAAAGTGGGGCATAAAGCCAGCGAGGTCCCAGTTTGGAGGCCCAGAGCTCACTCCTCAGCAGGGGCCGAGGGGAGAAGGGAGAAACCCCTGCTGGGAGACCAGAGGCCTCGCTTTGAGTCCACAGTCCTTGGCCAAGGCTCTTTACCTCTCTGGGCCTCAGTTTCCCCACCTGTAAACAGAACGTGGAAAGAAGTGTGGCGTAATCAAGGGCTCTTAACTCGAGCTCTAGGGACTGGGCCGTTACGTCTCCAACACTGAGCAGGTCTCAGATTTTTCTGCAAAGTGAACCCCCAGTCCACGTTTCTATGACCTCAGCACTATGTAAGAGTTAGCCTGATGTGACACCATATGTAAGGCAGGACAAAAACAGCCACGTGGAAGGGATGCTGACCATTACACCAGGGAGGCTCCACCGGGTAACCCATGGACCGGTCCGGCTGCAAACGTGTAACAGCTGGCTCAAAGTGTTGTTGTGTTGTTGTTGTTGTTGTTGTCGTTAGGCGAATTAGTGCCGACATTTAAAAAAACGAGAGACCTCCCATAAAATCCAGAAGGTTGCCTTTAGAAAAGGAACTCTCACGATCTGGCAATACTGGGTCCCCATTCCTACGTGGCAATGACTGACCATCCAGAGCGGCCCCCTTAAGACCAGCCGTGGGAGCACCAGCTTGCCGAAGTCCCTACCGCTCCCTGCCGCCCCACACTGGCCCGCTGCCTTCATTCAGCTCACTTGCCTGAGGCAGTCCCTGGGGTCCCAACTCTTAAGTCAACAGTGACAGAGCACTAGCACATGTGGGGGTTTATCTGGGGCTATTTGGGGTGTCTGCTACAGAGCACCTACCGGCATCAGCGGGCTCACTCACTCTCGGGTGCTCTCACTCCCTCTCGCTCACACTCTTTCTCTTTCTCTTTCTGAGAGCTGAATTTAAGATGCACTCACTCACTTTGTGCCAGCCTGCCTAGACGTGTGCCAATCCCAGCACCACGGGACTCAATCTCTCTGGGCCTCTGCTTCCTACTCTGGGAAATGGAAGAATACCGGTGCCCGTCCCATCGGGTGGCTATGACAAGGCAAGGAACACGTACAAGTAGGTCTGACCCCCCGTGAGGGCTATATAGAGCAGGAGCTGCTGTCACTACTCTTACCACCACCCCTGGATCCCAGACCCTGCCAGGGATCCTGTCCCCACTTCCGACAGGACACATACTTGACCATGAGCAGCCCAGGTTCTGTCCCCCGCCCCACCTTGCCTCCCTGTGTGACCCTGGACAAGCTACCGCCCCTCCCCAGCCTCAGTCTCCCCATCTGCTCCATGGGGACACGTGGCCCACCTCGTGTTCCACCTGGGGGAAGCGCTCCTTCACGCATTGGTGCAGCTGCTTGAAGGCAAGGCGCATGGCAGGCGGACAGCGCCCCACGGAGCCCACGATGGCATCCACGATGGGCCCCAGGTAGCCCGTCAACAGCCCCAGGCTGGCGTCCCGCACGTGCTCCTCCGAGGGTGTGCCCTTGAAGGAAATTCTCCTGGGGAAACAGAGTGGCTGTGCCTCCGAGCCCAGCATCTGTCTGCTCAAAACCCTCCACCAGCTCCCACTGAGCTGAGAGCACCCACCTTCCCAACCTCCCCTCCTACCATTCCCACCAGGCTTCTGGCTGCTTCTCAAACACATTGAGCTCACTCCTGTCATGGAGACTTGTCCACGCTGTTCCCTCAGCCTGAGACACTCTGGCACCCACGTTCAGCTTAAATGTCCCCTCCTCTAAGGGGCCATCCCTTCCCCGTCACACATCATCATGGGACATGTCAGCAGGGACATGCCAGACACACGCTTCCACCTCAGGGCCTTTGCACATGCTCTTCCCCCTGCCCGGGATACTCTTCCACCAGATGTGCACACCTCCCTCCCTCCTCTCCTTCAAGTCTCTGCTGAGAGGTCCCCTGCTCCATGAGACTGTCCTTCTGGCCACCCTTTGAAACACTGCAAGTCCCTGCTCTGTTCCTGGCACTTCCCACAACCCTTCCGTGCTCTAGCTCCCTCCATTCCCCTGACGACCTTCAATAACCTTCTTTAGCTGGCTGGCTACCTCCCCCTGGAAGGCGGATTTGCATCCACATATTCCCTGCTCTGGACTCAGCATTCAGCCAGTGTCTGAACAATAGGTTCTCAACCATTGTCTTGTTGAGTGGATGCTGGAATGACACTCTTCTACCTGTTATGTTCTAGTCCCTTCTTTCTTGTTCCCGCACAGGTGTAAGGTCTGTCTTGCCCGCCTCAGAGTTGGGATTCGAACCCAGGAGCTCAGTTTCGGAGCCCTGCCCATCCCCATACATGACACAGCCCAAGGATCACTGTGCTCCCAGTGAGGCTTTCTGCTGGAACACGGAGCTCCTGAGCCACCGCACCGGGGCAGGGGGGCATTGGCACAGACCCAGCCTGGCCAGGCTCTGGGCAGACCAGGGGGCTGCCGGGGGGGTTGGGTATACCCCTGAGGCGTTGCTCACCTGGAGCGGCCCAGGTCCATCTTGCACGGGTCCAGCTCCATGTACTTCTTTTCCTCGAAGATGCGGTGAATCACCGGCTTCAGGACCTCATGCAGGTAAGGCATGCCCACGAGCTGGGGGCAGGGGGACCACGTGGGATGGGGATGAGCGTGAGATCAGGCGTGCCCACGAGTTGGGGGCAGGAGGCACCGCATGGGATGGGGCTGAGCGTGAGGCTGGGCGTGCCCAGCACCTGGGACTAGGGAACCTTGCAGGGAGAGGCTCAGAGCAAGGCCGAGGCGTGCCCAAGAGCGGGAGCAGGGGGCGCTATCCAGGTGAATCTCAGGGTGAGGCCAGGCATCAGCCGCCAGCAGCCCGGCTCTGCCACCCTGAGCCAACCGAGGCCGGCCAAGCTCTGGGGTCCCAAGAAGCACAGAAAAGGAGAAAAAGCTGCAGCTGGGCCCCGGGCGTCGCCTGCTCACCTTCATAAACTGTTCCATTGCCTTGGATGCCAGGGAGTTAGAACGGAAGAGGGTGTTGGGGTCAGCTGGGAGGACAGAGGGAAGTGTTTGCTGGGGTTTGGGGCCGGATCCACCTCACCCCACCCACCCAAGGTGGGAGTCGTGCTTCTTCCAGCCTCAGGAATCAGGTACAGCTGCAGCATCAATGCCATTCACAGTCCAGGGGCCCAGAGAGATTCAATGAGCGGCCTAAGGTCACACAGCTCAAGAGTAGCAAAGCCAGCACCTGAATCCAAGACTGTATCCCCAGAGGGCTGCTGGTGTAAGGCATAGGGGCCCCCTACCCACACATATAGGAGCCCCTGACCTCTGCCTGAAGCCCCCATTTCTCCCCAAGAGACCCGTGCAGACCCATCCCTGGGGTGTGATGTCTGGGGCTCATGCGGGCAACTCACTGGTCCGGGCCACCTCACGCCGGGTGAGATAGTCCAGAAAGGGCCCGGCCAGGCCTTGGCCAAGAAAGAGCTTCACCAGCTTGGTGGCAAGGTCCTGGCGGCAGTCCCCCAAGGTCAGCTCCTCCAGCAGGGCCAGGGGACTGGCAGCATCCTCCTGGGCAAGGACAGGAGGCAGGAGAGGTGGCCCAGGGCCCTGCGACCCCACAGCAGAAGAACCCCGGGAGGGGGCCATCATCTGGATCCCCAGTGGAATGGATGTACCCACCTCTGCCGGGCCCAGCACAGATGCCATGAGCAGCTCCGTGAGCGGCTGGTAGTACCGGGAAGGGAGGACGCAGTCTTCGATGAGGCGCACCTTCAGCCGCAGCGCGCCCAAGGTCCCCCTGGCCAGGGTCAGGTCGCAGGTGAGGGAACAGTGAGTATGTACGCGCAGGCGCAGATGGCCGAGAGAGGCAGGTGTGAACACAGATAAGGAGCATGGATGTTAGCAAAACAAGGCAGATGGGGACAGCTGTGGGCAGGCGGGAACAGGCATGGCCAGTGTGGGCAGGTGGGAACCAGTACTGACGGGGATACACAGAACGGACGAGCGCACACAGTGTCAACACATAGGACGGGTGTGGAAGGACGTGGCCGGCGTCAAAAAACGTGTACACTGTGAACGGACAGTGGGGGCAGGTGTGGACAGTGTAACCGATGCAGGCAAGTGCGGACAGGTGAACAGATGTTGAAAGGGACACACAGGAATGGACAGGTAAAGTCGACGTAAGCAGTGCAGCCACTGTAAGGCCAATGTGAACAAGTGTGCACAGGCACGGAAGGACCCAGGGTTCGGAACACGCATCAACTAGTGTGAGCTGATATGTTCATGTGCAAACAGGTGGGTGGGTACAAGGTGAACTCCTCTGGACATAAGTACACACATATTGTAAGACGTGTGTTAAATAAGGGAACGGAGTGACACGGTGACAGCTTGGGGGCTGACATGGGCACCCCGCATGACCTGCCCACAAGCTGAAGATGGCAGTCACCCGGACTTCAGCCCAGCCGCCTCCCTCCGCACCCGCATTTACCCAGAATCCTCCTCGGCTCTGGGAAAGGGCAGGAGACGGAACCAGCCACTGGGGGCATTCTGCTGCAGGACCCGTGGGGGGAATTCCACCTGCGGGAGGACACGTAGACTCTCAGCTGAACTGGACTTTGCCAGGCCTAAGGCCCCACCCAGGCCTAGAAGAGCTGAATGCTCACCCAAGCAGGGGAGGCTTGGCCTGCCAGGGGCCACCTCCTCTCCACTACCATACCCGCATCGATGCAGCCGCAGCTACACTCCCTCCCCCAGCCCCAAATTATTAACTCCTGCCCGGACACTGAGGGCCTGCAGCCAACACTCAATTTACACTTGGGGAAACTGAGGCTTGGAGAGACGGAGTGACTTGTCCGAGGTCACACAGCTGCTAGAGACCAAATATCTAGACTGAGGACATTTTCAGCTCTTTCTGGGGACACACGTCGCACTTGTCCGAAAGCTTAAAGATAGTCCCAAAGGGCCCTGAACCCCACCGCCTCTCTTCTAAAATAACTTCATAGAGATGTAATTTGCATCCCATACAATTCACGTCTTTAAAGTGCGTAGTTCAATGGTTTTTGGTCTACTCACAGAGCTGCGCAACCATCACCACTAACTTCAGAACATTTTCTGTCTGCTCCCCAAACACCTGCGCTCATTGGCTGTCAGTCCCCGTCTCCCACCCCCGCCGCCAGCTCCAGGCCACCACTGACCTACTTTCTGTCATTACACAGTCACCTACTCCAGACATCTCATCTAAACGAAACCATGTTTCCAGGATTCATTCTCATTGTAGCGGGTGCCACGACCTCATTCCATTTCATGGGTGAGTAATATTCCATTGTAAGAACCAGCCACATTGTATCTACCCATTCGACCATGGAGGGACATTTGGGTTGTTTCCACTCTTGGCTATCACGAGCAACGAGCAACACTGCTGTGAACACCTTCATGTATGAGCTTCTGGGTGGACATGTGTTTTCATTGATCTTTGGTGCATGTCCAGGAGTGGAGTTGCCAGGGCATGTGGGGACGGTCTTAAACCGTTTGAGGAATGGCCAGACTGTTTCCCAAAGTGGCTACTCCATTTACTCCTCTGCTCCCTTCCCCGCTGGCTGTGCATAACCAAGCCAACCCATAACTTGCTCTAATCTTGCCTCCTTTTAAAAACTGTCAGTCTTGACTATACATCCATTCCCACTGAGGGGCAGGGCAGTCACACCCATTTTACAGATGTGTAAACTGAGGTTCCAAGAGAAAGATCTTGAGCCTGGTGCTTCCAGGGAGAGGGGTTAAGGGCTGGGATTCTGGAGTCAGAAAAACCTGAATGATTCTGGCTCTGCCCTTTCTTGGTCATACAACCTTGGGAAAGCCGCTCAACTTCTCTGAATGAACCTCGGTTTCCCCATCTATAAAATGCAGACAACAGTTTCAGCCTCACAGAGTGGCCATGAGGGGTACGTGAGCGAGATTATGCTAGCAAAGCACTTAGCACATGGTCATACTGAGTCCTCTCACCCCAATGAGAATCTGGGCCCACCCTGTGACCTTGGATAGGTTCCTGCCCCTTGGAGAGCCTTTGTCTCCTCACCTATACAACGGGGCAATGGGCCTGCATCACCCAGGTCTGGCCAAGCAGCCAGCTGAGACAGCTTTCACATCTATCCTTCCAGATCCCAGGATGCATAGCCCATCTCCCCTCCCCTTCCCTCTTGGAGGCAGTGGGGAGCCATGGAGAGTGTCAGGGGAGGGGGCGCTCACCATACCCAAGAAGTCATTCTTGCCCACCATGTCCCAGTCCCAGAGCTCCACCCGCAGCGGGGCTGGGGCTCCCGGCATCTCCCGCAGCTCCAGCACTTCATTCCAGTGTGGGAAGCGGGTCTTCTTGATGGTCTGGGGGAAGGGGAGGGAGGGAGAGCTGAGGAGGGCCCGCCTCCATGCCCACCCCTCCCCCGATCCACACCACCACTCACTGACGTCTCCAAGCTCTGGCTGCCCCAGAACACGCGTGCGAATGGGTCAGATGTGCCGGTGATATCTCGGGGGGCCAGGTCCCTGCAGACAGATGAGGAAAGGATGGAGAGACACAGGACCTTTGACGACCAAGACCCGAGCCAGACCTTGGAAAGGGGTTTGGGATAGACCGTTCAAAGACCTCTGGCCTCCACTATAGGGACCCAGCCAGGAGCACCCTTCACCCTGCCCATCCAAGCCCAGTATCTTCCTGTTGACCAGCGGTACCCTAGGAGGAAGCCCTAGTATGCCCCTATCTTCCAGATAAAGAAATTGAGGCACGAGAAGGGTCAAGTCCTAAATCACGAAGTCCAGGAGGTGAAGACGCAGTGGGGAGTGGGAAGGGAGCCTCGGTTTCTCTGGAGCCCCCGGGGAAGGAGACCAGATGCCAGGGTTCAGAGCCTGGCTCCACCACTCATTGGCTGAGTGACACTGGGAAAAGTCCCTTCATGACCCCAAGCCTCAGTTTCCTCATCTGGAAAATGGAAATAATAACAGATCAACCTCACAGGGCCAAGGCTTAAATGACATGACGTATATAAAAGGCTTGCATAGCAGCTGGTGGGATGTGAATGCTCGCTCATTCATTAATTCACTCATTCAACAAATACTCATCCACACCCTGCCTAGGACCCAAGAAAAGGCTTGAGGCAAGGACCCACTGTCTCTGGTTGCCATGACAACCCTAAAGTCTCACCTCAGACAGCTTCCCCAATCCCTCCTTCCTGAAGTCCCCCAAATCCAGTGACAGCCCCCCACCAGGGGCTGCTTGCTTCCTCCTGCTGTTCCTCTCCCACCCCTGCTTGGCATCCAAAGCCTTCTTTGGTTTCCTAGGAGCCAGCCCAGTTGCTAAGCGACAGCAATCAGTCCCTCTCCTGCTTACAAGGCTCCTGCACAGCCTTGTGGCTGGGGAGGAGGCCACTGGCACAAAGCAGATGAGGAGCCCCCTGTCCCATGCTCAGTGCTTCTGCCTGTCCTCTGCCACCCTGGTACTCCATCCAGACTTCGAGGAGTGCCAGCTGGCGACAGAAATCTGGAGATGGTGAGAGAGGCACAGAGAAGGCAAGAAAAGGCTTTAAGGTCACACAGCAAAGCAGAAATAGATATCCTCCACAACCTGAGTGAGGACTGGTATAAAAGTGAGGGTTGGGGGAGTAAGGTGTGAAAACAAGGCAGAAAGACAAGATGGGAGATGAGGGAGGGAAGGGAGGGGAGTATTTAAGGAAGCAGAATGATGGGGGAGCTGAGGGAGAGAGGAGGGGATTACAGAGTGATAAATAAGCAGGAGAGGAGATGGATATCCCATGAGCTGGTGCCCCTGGAGGGTCATCTGTGGGTTTTGCTGGTCCTGCATCCATCTTCCTTCTCCTGTTTCTTTGGGACAGGACCTGCCCTCTCTCACACTCCCAGCTCCCATAACTTAGGTAGGCTAAACCCTCTCTCCAGTCCAGGAGTGGGTGTGGGACTCAGGCCTGACCCATGAGTCCAGGTAATTGGTTCAGAGATCAGTATGTGCCCCATATTTGGCCAATAAGAATCAGTCCCAGGACATTAGTTGGAAATAATGAAGGAAATTTATTTTTCAGTTGGACCTACCAAGTTGGTAGGATGCCATCCTGAGACTGCTGGGGTCCTCTTTGTCCACACCTGGAGAGAGACTGCCTGAGACTGAAACTAACACAAAAGAAAGCTGTGAAATCTGTCTATAGATTCCTCATCTCACTGTTTGAGCACCTGGATCCAGCCATACCTGTAGCTGCATGTCATTCATATAAGCCAATCTGCTTAAACTGGTACAAATTGGGTATCTATCACTTACAATTTGATTAATACACCTCCACACTTTTTCTGGCCATCCTGAGTGTCTGACCTTTGGCTACTGGTCACTGGGGACCCAGCAAAGATTTTGCTTGTGCTCTGACCCCAGGAACTTGCAAACCTGGTGAACTTGGACTGTTTGCCTGCAAGGGATCCTGGTTGTGAGCCCAGAAGTGCCCCAGGAGAGAGGAGGTCTCAAAAGCCAACACAACTAGAAGAATCCAGTGAACTCTTGCTCATTCTCAGACCAAACCCACAATGTCCCCCCATCCTGACCATACCTGGCCTGGAACACATGACAGCGAAGACAACGGCCCCGTGTATCTTCCAGTATCTGTACATCCAAACAGATCTCACCCTGAACCTCTGCATCTGGGTCCACACGGCTCAGGTTGATCCAGCTATCAATTCCTGGAGGGCACAGGTGCTAACATTTATTAAATACCTACCAGACACTGGCATTGTGTTAACTTAAAAATTCGATTAACATTAAATATGTATTAAATCGTGGACTTCTCATGTCCACCTTCTGATGTAGACGCTGTAATTACCCACACTTGCAGACGAGGAAAATGAGATACAGTGAAAGAAGAGCTTTGCCCATGACCTCACAGCTAGGAAGTGGCAGAGTTGGGATTTGAATGTAGGCAGTATAGTCTAATTCCCTTCATCCTGTACTATCACGCTCTTCACCCTGGTACACAAAACCCTCCATTATTTAATCCCAATACATTCCCCCTCACAAAAATGTTGGGCAGGCCTACCTCTGAGCCTCCATCCAGGTAATTCTCCCTGCCTGAATCAGTCAAGTCAATTTCAACCTCCCTTCCCCTCTCTCTCTATTTCTCTCAACACTTTGAAGATCTCACTCACTGACTTCTAGATTCCATTGTAGCTATTGGGAAGTCATTTCAGCCGGATAACTGATCTTGTGTCAATGATCTATCTTTTCTCTTTAATTTTAAGGATCATGTGTTTGATGTTCACAATTTCACTGCATGGGCAGGTAAGGTTTTTTTTTTAATCCTGCTTACTGTGGTTTGTGCTGTTTCTACTTATGGAATCATGTCCTTCCTTGAGTTCTGGAAAATGTCAGGTCAACAATTTTTTTTTTTTATCCCTTCCTCTCCCCAATTTTTTCCTATTCTTTCCTCCCAGGACTCCAATTAAAAGGACATTAGACCTTCTTGGTAATTTTTTATGTCTCTGAACTTCTCTTTTATATTTTCCTTCTTGATTCTCTGGGCCAAAGTCTAAATAACTTCTTCAGATCTCTTTTCCAGTTCACCAATTCTCTCTTCAGCTCTGAATGATCTGCTGTTGAACTCAGCCTCCCAGTTTTCAATTTCAGTGACTACTTTTTATCTCTAAAAGTTTGATTTGGTTCTTTTAAAAATATGTTTTTTAATGTATCGCTTTATGATTATCGCCGTCCCTTTCTGGTGATTACATTTCAGTGTACTTAAATATTTTATTCCTTTTAAAATTCTGTATATCATAAGTATAAATTCTAAAATCTTCATGGGTTCAAATCTGGAGGTTATTGTGTCTGCTGACACTTGCTCATGGTGGCCCACTTCCTTGTGTGTGTGATGAAGCACTGTCCCACCTCACCTCTCTCTGTCTTCACTGCTACCCCCCAGTCCAGGATGCCATCAGCTTCTTCACTCGACTATGACAACAGACTCCTAATTGATCTCCCACATGTACTCCTGTCCCACTGTGATCCAATATCCACAAAGCAGCACAGAGATCTTCTGAAAATGTATCTAATCTCTCCTGTCACTCCATCCCCTGATAATACGGCTCCACTCTCTTTGGTGTCTTGCTCAAGGACCATCGATAGCTCCTCAGTGCCTCCAGAAGAAAGTCCAGACTCTAGCCTGGCACCTCCAGCCTTCTCCAACCGAGACCCACCCAGTGCTCCATCTGGCCTGGCCTACACCTGACCCTAAAAGAGAATCTACAGAGACATGCTTTAGTGTCTCTGCCAAAGCACCTTTAAGAACCAATTCATTCCCCTTCATCCAGGAAACCTTCCTCGACTACACCAGCCTCACTATCTGCTTATCCTCATCCACCATCATGCCAGTGATACTCCACATGCCTCCACCCCAACATTCCTGTCCTGCTTAAAAAATAAAAAGCACCCACATCCAGACACATGGACAGCTTCCCTTTTTTCCTTGCTCCTTGCTCTGTGTGAGCATATTTTGTGTTTCTGTCTGGTCCATAAGCTCCTGAAGCTTGGCCTCATACTTCCATCATCTAATTCCACTCCCTTGGGTGGATGTTTCAGGCACAATGGGTGCAGGTCAGCAGATGGGTTGAAAACACAGACTTTGGATGCAGGCACAGCCTGGACTCAATTCCCAACCCTACAGCTTCCAGGAAGGCCGAGTGCCCTCACCTCTCCAAACCTCATTTTCCATCAGCCATAAATTCAAGATCATTCTAGAGCACGGTTCACTTGGTGTTGTGAAAACTAAATATAAAGTGTTTAGCATCAAGCCTGGCACATAGTAAGTCCTAATTAAATAGGAGCAATGATTATGATGATTAACATGTACATTTTCAACTAATCCCCACTGATGAAAAAATACATTATTTGATTACCGACATCAAGATAATTAGTACTCATCTAGATAAAAAGTAATAAAGTTCAATCCCTCTCCATACCTTGAATCTGGTTAAATCCAAATAGATCAAAGACTTGAATGTAAAAAAGGAAAACAAATTGCTGTGAGAAGGAATCATGTAAAAAAAAATTATCTTAGAGTTGGGAAGACCTTTTTAGATATCACAGAAAAACAAGAGCCATAAAAACTAGAGAAAAAGAAACAGATCTTATACAGAGAAAAAAATGATAAGCAAAAACATAAGTGACAAAGGGAGAAAAACTATTTGCAGCTAATATGACAGAGTTAAATTTGCCTAATATGTAAAGAGCGCCTACAAATCAATAAGACAAGCCACACAACCCCGTGGGTGGCAATGCAACAAACAAAAAAGGAAATAAAGCAACTTTTAAATATGCAAAAAGGCTTTCAATCTCATTTATAGAGAAATACAAAATAACCTACACAAAGAGATCATTTTTTTACCTATCAGATACAAGATCAAAGAGTTTGGTAATTGCTGGCAAAGGTACCCTGGCAGGGTAGGCAAATTGTTACCTCCTCCAAAGAGGGTAACTTAGCAACAACTCTGTAATGTGCTAATATGGATACTCTATGACCCATCTACTTCTATGAATTTATCAAACTGATTGATATAACTTGCACATTTGTACATCACATTTGTACAAGGCTATTCACGGCTGTATTGTTTGAGCGAGGGAGGGACAGTGAACCACCCAAGAGCCCATCAGGAGGGAACCAGCCAAATAAACGATGATATATCCATACAATGGAGTGCCACGAAGTCAAAGATCAAAGAATGTGGAAGCTCTTGAGGAACCAATATGGAAAGATCTCCAGTGTAGATGGTGAAGTGGAAGGCAAGGGACAGAACAGTGAGTATAACACGCTGCCATTCCTCTGAGCAGAGCACCAAACACATACAGTGCCGTGTTGAGAGCGCAGACTGGAGGTAGACAATCTTGGTTCAAATCCTAGCCATCACACTTAGTAACTTTGTGATCCCGGGCAAGCCAACTAACCAATCCCCTCTACCTTGAGAGGTTCGCCTGTGGAACGGGCAGAATAAGGGTACCTACCTCACAGGCTCGTTACGATAATTAAATGAGTTGATTCATGGACAGCACTTGGAATAAATAAACCTACTTAAAATATTTCTAGGGGTGCCTGGGTGGTTCAGCCAGTTAAGCGGCTGCCTTTGGCTCAGGTCATGATCCTTGGGTCCTGGGATTGAGTTCCATGTCAGGCTCCTGCTCAGCTGGGAGCCTGCTTTTCCCTCTTCCTCTCCTGCTCCCCCTACTTCTGCTCTCTCTCAAATAAATAACTAAAATCTTAAAAAAAAAAAAAAAAAGAATCATTATCTCTAGAAGGACATATAAGAAACTGACAACCTTAAAATGAAAATGGAATTGCTGGGTTAGAGAGGGATAGTTTCCCCCGCTAATTATACCTTTTGAATATGGAACTACGTAAAGTAATTAACTACTCAATAAATAAATAAAAAAAAAATTTGTTTTAAACGAACAACTGATGAGGCACCTGGGTGGTTCAGTCGTTTAAGCATCTGACTCTTGGTTTCAGCTCATGTCATGACCTCTGGGTCATGAGACTGAGCCCAGTGTCAGGCTCTATGCTAGGCAAAGATCCTGCTTAAGATTCTCTCTCTTCCTCTCCTTCTGCCCCCCCCCCACCCCTCTTGGCCGTGAGCATTCTCTCACTCTCTCTTCCTCCCAAAAAAAAGAAAGAAAGAAAGAAAGAAAAGAAAAGAAAAAGAAAAATCAACAACTGAAATAATTTCCCCCTGAAGACTGCTTCCCCTGCCACTTGCTACATGTTCTCAAATGCCCAGCCTAGACATGGCCACCCATATTCCCTCTGCCCAGCTGAAGGCTGCTGCCCCTCGCCCACCTCTGGGGTCGGCTGCAATCGCTTCCCTGCTCAGCGAGATCTTGCCAATGATGTCATCGTGCCTGTGGAAAGGCGGGCAGGTGAGGGTCCGAGTCATTAAATAGCGGGAACAGGCATCAAGGGTCAGTTGGGTGAATACTTTGCTTTGGGGCATCCCGCCTTCCCCCAGGTACTCAAGCAGGGGTCCCCAGTACACGCACCCCACTGTATCCTCGTCCAGCACGTAGAAGGCCAGGTGGTGGAAATCCAAGGGCAGGTGAATGGTGTACTCCTCCCCCCAGAAGGGGCTCAAGCTCCTCCAGACAGTTGCTGTTCTGCAGAGGAGGGCACGGGGGGGCTGGGGACCCTTGGGTCACACAGGTGGCAGACACCTGGGGACCCAGACATACACATGCACACAAACCTCACACTTATTTCCATGATGTGCATAGATACACACACAAATACACACACAGAGGGGTCCCTGCGTGGGTTAGTCAGTAAAGCGTCTGACTCTTGATCTCAATTCAGGTCTTGATCTCAGGGTCAGGAGTTCAAGCCCCATGTTGGGCTCCATGATGGGTATGGTGCCTTCTTAAAACAACAAAAACAAAACACAAATACACAAGCAGGAACCCCAATACTCACATACCCTGAGACCTACACACACACACACACACACACACACACACACACATTCCCACAAGGTTGGACATGAAAAGAGAGACACTCACAGACACACCAAGAACGCCAGAGACACATTCCCATACACACAGATACACACAGGCATCCTCAGAGATTTCTAGAAATGCATATCTATGTGTTTCTACGTAGCGACACATACAGATACAGAGAAAACAGACAGATTCACATAGATACACAGATCAAAAAAAAAAAAAAAAAAAAGCCCAGCACATAGAGACACAGAGACCCACAGACACACACTTACACACGTATGGTGACAGATGGTAGATACACACACAGAATCCCTTACACAGTAACTGACAACATGCAAATTCCATTCATTCACTCATTCACTCCATGAACACCCTGTGTGCCAAACCTTGTGGGCTATGGAGAATCAGAGGAAGAGGTGCCCAGGCCCCTGCCCCCACAGAGCCCCCTTCAGTGGGCAGGTACTCTCTCCTGAACTCTTATGACACATGACACAGTGAGACAAGTCCTGTGGTTGGGGTGAGCTCAGTGGCACTTGGCTAGGTCTGGGGGTGTGGATTGGAGGAATCAGAAAATGCTTCCTGCAGGAGCCGGTCAGGCAAAGGGGGAAGAGAAGAGGAGGACGAGATGGCTGGGACAGCATGTGCAAAGGCCCTGAGGCAGGAGTGAACTTGAGTCTGAGGAACTGGAAAGCGCTGGATGGGGAATGGGAAGTGTGCGGGGCCAAGAGACCTTGAAGTCAGCAGGAGCCAGAGCACTCAGGAAGTGAGAGGGAACCACAGGTGGGTTAGGGACCCAAGCAAGCCTAGAAACAGACACACACAGAGAGCATCCTCACTCTGACACCCCTGCCTATGCACTTTATCCAGCAGGGAACGAGGAACCTACTTTGCCCAATGAAGACACACCCAATCTATGGGTGCAGAATTGGGGCGAACCAGAATTGGGCCACTCCTTTTACCCCTTGCCCTGCCCTCTTCCCCAACAAAGACTGTGAACATACCCACACACAGGCACACAGAGATGCACACTCTGCCCTCTACCCCAGCCCAGAGCACCACAGTCAGAGGGACCCATCTTCTCAAACACCCTCTTCCCCCTGTCTCCCTCTTTTCATAGCTGGAAGTCCCTCTTCAGGGCCCAGAGATGCACAGAACAGCAGCCTGGGATCCCACAGAAATCTCTCTGCGGGTTTGGGGGTGGTATCACAGCATGTGGGGAGGGGGCAGCATGAGCATAGAGAGCAATGGAGGGGGTCAGCTGGGGCACTGCAGGCTGACATTCCCCCATGCGGGCTCCCCACCCCCTTGCCCCCAACCCCTCCGGACTGCAACCAGCACCAGAAGCATCCTGAATCCTGCTGTCTCCATAGGAACCCAGGCCTCAGCCACCCGCCCAACTGCCCACCCACACCCCTCAGGCCTGCGGGGGCGGAGAGCTCTCCCTCGGCCTGCGGGGGCAGGAGCCAACCACCGCCAAGCCCCGCGTCCCTCCACCCCACCCAAACTCACTCATGCAGCAAACACCCTCATGTCCTCACTTGTGCTCACGAAGGCGTCTGTGTACCCAAACAAGCAGACACTGGTGCTCACGTGTATATGCAAGGCAGCCCACGGGTGTGCGCACACGCACGCACACACACACACACACACACACACCCTCCACTGGTACACAGTGTGAGCCTGTGAGCTGCACACCCCCAGGGACACGCACATGCAGTCACAGACATTCACGTCAGCCCTCCAACACCCCCCACCACTCACAAGAAGGCCCAGCTGGGCACGCACACACACACACACACACACACACACACACACACACGCCCCAGTGCCCGCAGCACCCAGCAGGCCCGGAACCAGCCAGCCCAGCCAAGCGTGAGATGCCCGCCTCCAGGGAGGCCACGGTGGGAGGCACAGGCGGGCAGCCGCTGAGTCAGTCCCAGGACACTGGCAGGGACATCATCTGGTCCAGGGGGAAGTTGTTGGCCAGTGGGAGGGGCAGGATGGAGAGGGGAGCCGGGAGCGCCAGCTGTCTGTCCCCAGAAGGGCCAAAGCACAAAGCATCCACTGGCAGGTCCCTCGTCTGCTCTTGGCATAGGCATTGCCTTTCACCCGGCTCCTCTTTTCGATGTCAAATCTTGTGCCTGGACCCCTCAGGTCTAGAAGGAGCTCCTCCTCCATTCCCTGCCCTGTTCCTCTTCCTCCAGGCCCGGCCTCTCCACTCCTCACCTGGCCACCACCTCGTCGTCCACCTTCACGATGCAGTAGGGGTCACTGCTCCCAGACCTGCGGGAGGAGGACGTTCAGGAGGGAGGTTGAGAAGACAGCCACGAGTGGAGGTCCCAGTGCACCCTCATTATGTATGGACGGGGCAACTGCGGCCCAGAGAGGGGAGGGGACTGGCCCAGGGTCACACAGCAAGTCGGGGTAAGATGCAGAATCTCAGGGGACCAGCAGGAGATGTCATGGGTACACAGCCCACCCACTGCATGCCCGACCCCCACACATGATCTCTCTAGGCTTCCACATATAGAAACAGAACACTGAGGACTGAGGCCAGGAAGTTCCCAGGGCTGGTCCCAGGTAGCCCAGAGCTATGGTCAACAGCCCATGTTAGAGAGGTTTCTTGGGGTTACCACCTGCTCACGGTGGAACCCAACAAGCCCCACCCCCTGTCTCTGTGGGTGCTGGTTTTTCCTCCCTATAATGGTAATACACATCTCCTGGTGGGGGCGGCGGGGGTAGGGGTGGCTGGAGGAACTAAAGGAGATAACGCATGGTGGGAGGCATCATGGGCTGGCCTCAGAGCTCTACTCCAGGACCCCCTACCCTCTCAGCCAACTTTTCATTTCCACCGGATTTTCCCTGGGGAGGGGACTCCCAGTGCTCAGCCCAGTGAGACCGTTTCTGCTGGTACAGACCAGGGCACCCAGATCTCAAAACCACAACCAACAGCAGCCCCTTGAGGAGGCATGAGCCATGAGCCAACCAAACGCAGCTCCATCCCCCACTTCATAATAAGAGTTACCAGCCCCATCCCAAGCTGTCTACTAGGGCCCTCATCTCCCCTCTGTCTCATCGCACAGGGCTCCTTTGTCTTCCCCCAAGTTCTGAGTGCAGCCTCAGGGCCTTTGCACTCACCATTGCAGCTGCCTAAGACACTCTGTCCCCGATCTTGTCATGGCTGGCTCAGTCCTGCTATTCAATCCTCAGCCCCGCTATTCAATCCTCAGCCCCAAAGTCACCACCTCAGAGAGGCCATCCCTGACTACCTCTGTCCTCTGTGAAATTGACCTCTGATCCCCCTGGGCACCAGAAAGCATCTTGCTCCCTGTTTCTCTCTGTGTTTAGTGTCTGTCTCCCTCAAACTTCTGAACTGTGAGCTCCTTGGGGGAGGACTTATATCCTCCATCCCACAACCCCCCTCCTGAGTCGGAATTCAAACCCAGGTCTAGGGGGCTCGGCATGCATGCTCCTAACCAATGTCCCCTCCACCCCAGCTCAAATGCTCTCCCCAAGTGACCCCCTCTTTTGATGCCCCAGACTCCACACTCTCTCTTTGCCATCTCTAATTGGTCACCAATCCACAGTTACCACGGGATTTCAGGGGAGGGGCTGTTGTCACCCGAAGCCAGTGGCAGTCTGAGCCTTGTCTGCTGGATGAGTCCTTCCTTGTGCCTCAGTTTCCTCTCTGGACTCCTGCCCCCAGCTCCCTCTGTGTGGGTGCTCCAGTGCCTCCATTTCCCCATCTGGCCTCTATTCCTGAACAGCTCAGGCTGGGTGGTGGCCTATGTCCCTACATTCTTTTCTGGGTTCTACTGCTGAACTCCCTAGAGTAGTGCCCTAGGCCTCAGTTTCCCCTTCTGAATCTACCTCAGACCCTCTGGGCTGAGTAACCCTGAGAGCCTCAGTTTCCTAATCTGGCTCTATGCCCTGGGATGCCTATGGCTGGGTGACCCCTAGATCTCATTTCTCTGGCTGGGTTCTCTATCTCTGAGCCTCTTTTAGGTATGGTCCCATTCCTCAGTTTCCCCAACAGCAGATGTGGAGGAGGATTGGCTGGGATCCCAGTAGCAAAGAGCTGGGAGACCCGCCCCCTTCCGTCAACCAGGCCTGACCCTGGGGCACCCACCTCGGGAGCCAAACTCACTTGCCGGCTCCACGGCTCTGACGCACAAGGGCCTTATCAGGCTCCCATCAGGTAGGAAGCAGCTGTGGCAGGAGGGGTGCCCCCACCAGACCCTCAATCTCTCCAGAACCTTGACCTCTCCCATGGGCCCTGCCCCAACTCAAGCGTGGGAAAGAAGGCCCCTCAGCCATTGCCTGCCCAGTGTGGCTTACGCACAGGGCCAGTCAGGGCTCAAATCCCAGCTGTGTGACCTCGGGCAAGTGACTTTGCCTCTCTGGGCCTGTTTCCCCAATTTGTAAATGGAAATGCTTATAGGACCTCAGGAAGTGTTAAGTATAGGCCCTGGCCCAGAGTAAGCCCTGGACAACTTACAGCTACTATGATTAACACGAATAATTCTCAAAATTGTCAGTGGAGGCCTCCTCCGGAGTCAGGTCAGACCCTGCCCTCATACCTGATGAGGCTTCAGAATGAGGCTGGGTTCTTTCCCTTAGGAAACCAGAGAGAGAACACACCCCCATCTAAGAGTCTTCCTGGGTGTGGAGATCCCAGCAGGCTCTGAGGACAGCCCCTCTGAAGAAGGGAGCCAACAGCTAAGGAAACTGAGGCAGAGTGCTGGCTCCCCAACTAGGGTTTAGGGACTTCTTCCCACCCTTGCTCTGGGGCTCACCTTGACCCGAGAACTTGGGGGGAGAAAGGGCGGCCAAGAGGTGTAGGAAGCAGGTATGAGTTAACTCCATCTGCAGGAGAGGCAGAAGGAACCCCCCGCAAGCCGTGTCCACCCCACAAGCCATGTCCCCACCATGAACCATGTCCACACCCTAATGGCCTCACCCAGGACCGGGAGATGGAAACCTGATTTCTGGAGGGCCCCCCGCCCCAGCCCTCTGGCAGTTTCCAGGCCCCCATTCCTGGCCTCACTGCCCTGACAGTTCCAGAATGTCATTCTCCGAGGCTCTGAGAGGGTGTCGCAGAAGGAGGGAAGCAGGGGCTTGTCCAGATGCTGCATTCACACAGCAAGCGCTCTGCCTCTATCCCAGGTGCATGTTTATTTGGGGTAGCTGATGAGGATGAAGGGAAGCTAAAACCTCTCTCGGCAGCCCAGGGTTGGGGAGGGGTGAAGTTCCTAAAATCAAAGGCTGGAGACCCTTCACTGGGGACCCACAGCTGGGGGGCGTCAGAACATAGCTAAGCCCTCATCTCAACTTGGGTAGAGGGTTAGAATCCAGGTTTCTGCTCACCCTTGGCCACGGGGTAAATCCTAACAGGTTCTCCACCCCTCACAGCTGCTCCAGGCTGAATAGCCCCTGTCCAGAGCTCCCATTGTCCAGGCAGGAAATCGAGACCCAGGAGGACCAGGTTCAAGGTCACGCAGCTGATGTCCTGCCAAGAATCCCACACCTGTCACAGGTGCTGACACCTCAGAGCCCCTCTGGGCTCCAGGCCAAGCAGGAGGGGGACCCCTCCTGCCATTCTGCTGATTCGGCAACTGCTGACTCAGCCCTAGAGGAAGTAGAGCCAAGGACTGGTACCCACAGGAGCCCGAGGGTCCTCCAGCCCCCATCACACCTGCCTGGTCAGGGTGTTACGGGGTGGGGGGGGTCGGGGGGGCTCGGGGGTGGAATCTTCAAGAGACTCAGCATCCAGGTAAGGCCCACACAGGGAGCTCCTTGCTGGGGAGCTCAGGGCTCTGGGTCCAGAGGACCCCAGTTTCCCCCAGGTCTAGCTGGTGGGCCATCTGATGACTGTCTTTGAACCTAAACACCAGATGCACACAGAGGAATGCTGGGGCCACCCGGTGCTCTGGGCTTTCTTCCCAGGGTTCCTTAGATAGGCACCCACCCTGGTCTGGAGAAGCCCCACCTCTGGTACCTGCCTGAACTAAGGAAGAGATACCCCCCCCCACTACCCTCCTAGCTCCAACAAAATCCGACCCTCCAATCCCCTTTAGTACATCCCAGGAACAAAGACATCCCCCTTCCTGGGGCAGGGTGGCGCATCTGCTAAGTCTGGACGCCCCTTTCCGATAGGACAGCGATGGGCATGAGGTTTTAGCCCTGTGGAGGCGGATCTGCACCAATATTGTGTCTTAGACAGGAACCCCCTGCCCACCTCACCGCTCCTCCCCGGCATGCGGAACGGGCGACCCCTGCCCCAGCCCATGTCCGCTGCGCCTCTCACTCGCGACTCGCCCCGGGGTACTTACACGTCCTTGGCGGGCAGCGCCCGGCCCTCCACCACGCGAACATTCAGGGAGCTGCTCTTGGCCATGGCGCCCAGCCCCAAACTTTACGGGCAGAAGGGTGCCCAGGTGCCGAGGCTGGACCACCGAGGGGGCATCTACATGTCACCAGCTGCGAGCCTGGCGCCCCGTCCCCGGGTCCCAGCGCCGCCTGTGTGAGACGCGGGTAGCTAGGCGGGAGGTTTCCGGAGGAGAAAGAATAGGTGTCCGGGGAGGGGTAGTCCCTCGGACTCTACAGGTAGGAGCGGGGCGCGGAGGAGGCAGAGCGCGCAGGGGCCACCCGCAGCTCTTGCCTCCTGGTCTGAAGCTCCGGGTGGGCGGGCAGGGGGCGGGAGGGGCAGCCCAGGGTCCTCCCCCCAATCCCGCCTCCCGCGTGTCCCCCGCCCGTCCCCGGGCCCCCTCGCGCGCCCTCTGCCGGCACCCCAGCCAAGCGCGCCCGAGCGCACCGGCCACGGAGACCGGGGCTCGCTGAGACTGCCAGGTGGGGAGCGGCCCACTGCCAAGGCGGGCGTGGCCTCTGGCTCGTGGTGAGCTGGCACCGAGCTCAGAAGACACAGCCTGTCCCCTGCCTGCCCTCCCCAGCACAGTCGCACCTCCCCAGCCCTCCCCTGCCTCCCATCCCGGTGCCGCCTCCTCGGTCCCAGTCGCGTGCTCTGTGCGGGAGCAGTACCCGCGGTCGGCGGGAGGTGTCGCTAAAGAGGGAGTCTCACATGCCCCGGGGCGAGGAGGGGGGGGCGGGGGGGGGTTCCGTTCAGAGTCAAGGGAGGGGCCTCGAACATCCCCTTCCTTCTCGTTTAGTTTCCAATTAAACCCAGACTGTGCGAGCGGCAGCTCTCACGTCACGGGCTGGCACTGCGGGGGAGGCAGCCGCGGCCGGAGGGGGGAGGGGAAGCCTGAAGACAACCGCGACGGCGGCGACAGAAGTCATTTACAACTCTTTGAACACGTACTGTGTGCCAGGCACTGTTCTAAGCGGTTTCCGGGGATTGTATCGTCTTCGTCCTCACCATAATTCAGTGCACTAAGTGCTATTGCACTATCGCCCTCATTTCATGGATAAAGAAACAGGTTCAGAGGGATTAGATAGCTCAGGGAAGGCCTCAGGCAGTAATTGGCTTGCCTTTCTGGATTTGAATCCTAACTCCACTGCTTGCTAGCTGTGTGGTCTTGAGCAAGTCACTTAACCTCTCTATGCCTTGACTTGCTTTTCTCGTCTGTTCAACAGGAATAACATAGTATTTTGCTCATAGCGTTTTGAGAGAATTGGATGAGATAAAGCAGATACGAAAGAAGCAGATACAGGTCTCAAAAAAATAACGTAAAACATAAAGCACATAAGAAGCTTATAGAAGGGGTGACTGGGTGGCTTAGTGGGTTAAAGCCTCTGCCTTTGACTCAGGTCATGATCCCAGGGTCCTGGGATCCCACACATCAGGCTCTCTGCTCAGCGGGGAGCCTGCTTCCCCCTCTCTCTCTGCCTGCCTTTCTGCCTACTTGTGATCTCTGTCTGTCAAATAAATAAATAAAATCTTAAAAAAAAGAAGCTTATAGAAAGGGTTTGCTATTATTATTATTACTATTATCCTTCAAGGTATAACTCAAACATCACATCACCTCTCCTAAGAAGCCTTCCAAGATACCCTTCTATCCCAGACAGAGGTTTCCTTCTCTTTTTCTCTGCTTCTCAGTTCCACGTTTGTCCATTTCTCAAGTGTCAAAACTTGGAGTTTGAAAAACACATCTGAAACAATGCAACAGGAAGAGCCTGTCCCAGGATAGATATTTACACATTTCTCCCCATGAGTTTGTTGTTTACCCGCCTAAGAGTTCTTGGAAGAGCTGGCACCAAGCCTGACTCACTTCGGTCAGCCCAGGGTTGGGCACCAATGGGAAGGCCCCAGCTGAATGATTGCTCCAGCCGACGCCCAGACTGGCGGGACCAGGAGGGCCTGGAACAGCCCCGGGAGTAGCCAGTGATCTGCCTCCCAAACTCCCCCCTTGACTTCCCACCCAACACTCCAGCCAAGCTTGTAAGCGATTCTCTGAGTTCTCCCCCCAGCTGGCTGCTGTCTGCTGAGTCTCCAACTTCCAAAGACTGGGCCTCAGTTACCCCATCTGGGATATGGGTCTAGCAGGGCTGGCCCCAAGGCTTAGAAGTACTGCAGGGTACCCTTCAGCAGGGTACGAGAGGTGATCCAGGGTCGAATCCAGAACCGCGGTGGCCACAAGTGAGTGTTTACCACCCACCTCCTCTGTGCGCCTTACTAGTGATCCCTGAGCCTTATCAGAGGAAAATGGTACTTGCTGTGCGCGTGCTGCTTCAAGACAGGTGCCCTGTCCCTTTTCCACTCCCGCCTAGGTGAGAGCTTTTGGCTAACCCTTTTTTTTCTGAGCTCCTGCAGAGATCTCAGATAGGCTCTCCGGCCTCTAGGGACCCCTGATGGAACCTGAGGGGCCCGGTCCTGGGGCCACCTGGGTTGCCAGCCAAACTGCCATCAGCCAACTCGGCCAGTCTTCCGGAGCTGAGCAAGAAGTCGCATTCCCAGATGCCCCTCCCCAGGCCCCCAGGGAGGTTATGAAGTCTATGGAATGTGCAGGCCAGGCCTCCAGGGAGCCAGCTCTGTCACCTGTCCAATAACCAGCACTGGAGCCTGAAATGCGCCTGGGACTGTGGCCTCAGTCCTCAAACTTTCCGAATGGCTTGGCCACTTCCTGTTGTTCTGAGAAGTTTTGACTTGAAACTGGCAGAGGGTTTGAGGTCTCCCGGGGCAGCTCCTGTCAAGGGACCAAAGGGTGAAGGGGGCAGAGAGAAGGAGTGTCACCTGCTGGGTGCTACCTAGCTTGGAGAGGAGAGACTATCACGAGCACCCAAGCTTGGGCTGTCACGTGGGAAAGGTCTCATCGTTCTCACGGGGTGTTGTGAGAGTTGATCCAGAGGCAGTGTGAGGCAGCTGTCATCATTCCTGGCACCTAGTAGGTGCTCAAGAAATGCTTAGCCTCCTCCCTTTCCACTTCCTCGAAGCCCTTAAAGACAACCCACGATCATCTTCCGGCCAGCTCTCTCCCTAGCCTAGCGCCCCTGAGACACACACGAGCGCTGCTTTCAGTGGCAGGAGACGCTGAGCTCGTGGGATAAGAGCAGAAGTTCTAGCATCCGGTCAACCCAACCTGGGACTGAATTGTGGCACCTACACTATGAGCTGGGTGTTCTTGGACACCTTCTGGGGGTTCGGTTTCTTTATCTGTAAATTGGGCATAATAACAGCACCCACCTCATCGCCTGGGTGTGAGGATGGCATGAAGAAAAAGTCAGATGTTTAGCACAGTCTGGCATATAGCAAGGACTCAGCAAGAGTCGTGGCCATAGGAGGACTTCCTGAACCCATGACTGTGCCTGACACCGAGCTCCCCCTAAGTGGAACACCAGGCCCCACCCTGAATTCCAGGGAGTGATGGAGCAACCACACTTCAGTAGCCATTACGGCTCCAGGCTGCTGCGCAGAAAGAACCTGGGGCTTCACATCTCAGCAGAGAACTCTGATCGATAGACTCCAAGGTCAGGGATGGCTGTGCCCATCTCCCACTCAATGTTCATCAATGCCACAGTGGGAACGTGAAACCATCTGTGGCAGGAGAATTGACTCCCATGAAAACTGGCAAATGCGACAATGCAGGGGCTTGGGGGGGTGGGGGGTCAGTTCAACAACACACCACTGGGCACCAGATTCCCTAGCCACATAGCCTTCTAGACACTCCTGAACTCAACACTCTTAAGATTTTGCTCCTATCCCCTCTCCCCACACCCACAGTACCCTCGCCCTACCCTGCCTTCCATTAGGAAAGCCCCTTCCCTCCTTTTCCTGTTCCCTTGTTGATCTCCCACCCATACAACTGGATAAAAACGAGGAGGGGTGGGGCTAGCAAAGTAGAGACAATGTTGTGTCAATATCATGGACTATGACATGGTTGTTAAGAAGGATATGCTCAGGGGGCGCCTGGGTGTCTCAGTAGGTTAAAGCCTCTGCCTTTGGCTCAGGTCATGATCCCAGGGTCCTGGGATCGAGCCCCGCATCGGGCTCTCCCCGCATCGGGCTCTCCCCGCATTGGGCTCTCCCTGCGTGGGCTGTCTGCTCAGCAGGGACCCTGCTTCCCTTCCTCTCTCTCTGCCTGCTTCTCTGCCTACTTGTGATCTCTCTCTCTCTCTGTGTCAAATAAATAAATAAAATCTTAAAAAAATAATAAAAAAAGAAGGATATGCTCAAAGACTTGGAATGACAGAGAAAAAATGCTAAAAGAGAAGCCAGAAGTCGTGGGGGAAACACGACCATCTCCACACCACCATCTGGATGCCACAGACAATTACGTGTATATTCTTTGTATGAATATTCCTTTTATTCAGCTGATCTGCGTCGAGGGCCTACTGTGTCCCAGGCAATGGGGATACAGCGAAGTATAGGACCGCCCAGCCCTGCTCCCCTGGGGCTCTCAGGAGCGTGGGGAGCTGACAAAATTTGCTTGCCACTGAAGAAGACACTCTCGGTAGGAAGTAGGAAGTGATACGCAGACGAGAAAGCAGACAAGGGAATCGGGCAGCAGCAGAGGGCTTCCCCAGACACCAAGACATGAGCTTCTTTTCATCCTCAGAAAATACGCCGCGCTGCCTCCCGTTTCTGAAATCTCAGCTGCCCCAGCTCTGTGGATGGCCTGCAGCCTCTAGAAAGGCAGCCACGACCCCTCCCCACCCACCCCCTCAACCCTGCCTGTTGGCACCATTCTGCGACCTTGGTCTCTTGTTCTCTTGTTTTGTGGTATTTTACACGCTTGTCTTATCTCTTAAATGTCAGGGACAATGTCTGATTCATGCCGTGCCTCCCACACCGCTTGGCACGTAAGAAAGACTCAAAACACACTCGCTGGGTTAAATAGAATTCTGTTCCCCTCCGGGGCTGGAATCTGGCCTCTCTCGTGGCGATAATAGTCGTATTATTTCTTACTTCCTTTCTGCCCACAGTGCCTAGGACTGCAGCTTCATCTCTGCCAACATACCGTCTCTCTGCTCCATGTCCACCCCCAAACCTGGGGCAGACCCCTCTTCTGGCTCCAGAGACCTGCCTGTCTCTAGACCTCAGTTCCCCTCCTGTGGCCCCATCCCTTCTAAGGCCAAGGCTGGGGCAAGAAAGACAAGCCCTGGCCCAGGTTGGGGGTAAGCAGCGTGTTCTTTGTCTCGGGAACACAAAGCCCCATTTGTGATCGCTGGGCACGATTCTGGGCCGGGAGCCACGTAGGACAGGAGGCTGTGGTGGGAGGAGTGGGCAGGATTTCCACAAACCCCTCCCGTGGGCTGGCTGCCGAGGAAGCAGTCAGTCCCGTCCTCCCACAGCCTGAAACAAGGTATCCGTCTGTCTGTCCAACGCCCCTGCTTCCTCCTTCCCCATCCCTATTCCCCAAGGTGCGCCCCCCCCCTCCACCCCCTGCCTTGGAATGGAGAAATAGGAAGGGGGAAACCACCCAAGCATGAGACTTGGGGGTGGGGAGAGTGGCTATTTCCAGAGCTGAGCGCTGTGGCCAAGGGCAAGGCCAGCGGAGAAATTGTGTCCCACTGTCACTCAGCAGTCCCACTCACCCTCTCTCCCAGGATGTGGGGATAGACACAGGTGGGGATTTGAGACCTCTGCCTTAGCAGCATGAGAGGGGAGCCCCAAGAGAAGCTGAAAGCAACACCTTATTTATTTTTTTAAAAAGATTTTATTTATTTATTTGACACAGAGAGAGAGATCACAAGTAGACAGGCAGAGAGGGATGGGAAAGCATGCTCCCCGCTGAGCAGAAAGCCTGACACTGGGCTTGATCCCAGGACTGAGATCATGACCGAAGGCAGAGGCCCAACCCACTGAGCCACCCAGATGCCTCGACACCTTGTTTAAAATAGAAATGCTGAGGCCTGGGTCATGTACCCACAGCTGCAGCCTTCTGAAGACGGTCTGCTTGTATATAGACCTTTTCCTCTCCTCGAAGCTATGAGCAGTTTCAAGGTAAGGATGGGTTATCTCTAAAAACAAAACCAAGGCCCATCACTTCTCAGCCTCTTGTCCTCAGAGGGTCACTTAACTCCCCTGGGCCTCAATTCCCTCATCTGTTATTGGTCACAGGTCCGGCCCCTCCTTGGCCCTCTCTGGTCAGTACCTATCCCATCATCCTTGAATTCTGCACACCAACCTACAGACCTTTGTTCTCTTTGTGAAAGGGGGCAGGGTGCATGTCCTCCTGCCTCAGGGCCTTTGCATATGCTCTTCCCACTACTTGGAATACTTTTGCTTTCTTCTTCTCACCCCCTCCACCCCACCCTTGAGGTCTCAGGTCACACGTTACTGCCTCAAAAAAGCTTCCCTCCCTGCTCCTTGCACCCTAGACTTCTCTCCCTAGTCCAGAGTGGCTGTACCATTTGGAATTCCCACCAACAGCGTAAAAGTGATCCAGATTTTCTGCCTCCTCGCGGTCATCACCGTCTTTGTCTTAGCCAGTCTGATAGGTGCACCATCAGCCTGTATGCCCCATGAGGGCAGTTTCTGCCTTATCCACTGCTGTATCTTCACACACTCTCTAGTACTGAGTAGGTGCTCAATAAACATTTGCCCGCCAAAAAACACCTCTAAGAGAACAGAAATTCAAAAGGGAGGATGCATACTAGCTTCACGACAATGACATCCTCTGAAGAGACAAGGAAGGTAATGAACCTGTAGAGGGAAAGATCCAAGGGGGGGCTCAGCTATATCCGGACCATTGTGGTTAAGAGGGTGCTCTCCACACCCAGGTGGCCCAAGTTCAAATCCCACCTTAGACCTGACATGATGCATGAAGGAAAAAGTGGCAAATCAGGTCATCAAACTTTAAAACCTTGCTCTGCAAAAGACCATGCGAAGAGAATGAAAAGATCAGCTCTGCCTGGGAGAAAATATCCAGCAGAGGATTATCTGGAACATCGAGACCTGTTATCTAGAATATATAAAGACGTTCTCAAAACTCAACAGCTAAGAACAATTCATTAGAACACAGGCAACAGATATGAACAGATATTTTGCTGAACGGGATGGCAAAGAGGCACACAAAAAGATGTTCATCGTCATCGCGGCCAGTAGAGAAATACCAAGGAAAACCACAGTGAGACCTCACGGCGTACCTACCGCACTGGCTCAGGCAAACACGGTAATGACCATGAGGAGGCAGAAAATCTGGATCACTGTTTGCTGTTGGTGGGAATTCCAAGTGGTACAGCCACTCTGGAAAAGACTCGAGCAGCTTCCTTAACAATTGTGCTCACGGGTGTCTATTCTGGAGGGAGGAAAACTGACGCTCACACAAAAACCAGGACATGAATCTTCACAGTGGCTTTCTTCATGAGAGCCCCAAACGGCATCTAATCCAAACATCCTTCCACCCAAATGGTTCACCAAGCACGGCACATCCACCCCGTGGCATGCTACTCAGTGATCAGAGAGCGTAAACACTGATGCGTGTGGCTAGTAGGATGGATCTCAAGAGAATGAAGCTGAGTGCAAAAGACAGTCTCACAGGTTGCATACTGTCCAATTCTACTTACAGAACATCCTTGAGGTAACAGAACTGTAGAGATGGAGAACAGATACATAGTTGCCTCCTGGCAACTATGAGGCAGGAGGGAGGGAGGTGGTCCTAGCTTTCCGTAGCATGAAGGATCTCTGTGAGGAACGTTCTGTAGGTAGCTTGATTGTGGCGGTCATAGGAGTCTATGTGTGATAACTTTTTTTTTTTTTAAATTTGACAGACAGTGATCACAAGTAGGCAGAGAGAGGCAGAGAGAGAGGCAGGCAGAGAGAGAAGGAGAAGCAAGCTCCCTGCTGAGCAGAGAGCCCAATGCGGGGCTCGATCCCAGCACCCTGGGATTCTGACCTGAGCTGAAGGCAGAGGCTTTAACCCACTGAGCCATCCAGGCGCCCCCATGTGTGATAACTTTGCATTGAACTAAATACACACACACACACACACACACACACACACAGGAGCGCATGTAAAACCATGAGATCTGAATAAGGTTGGCGGATTGTCTTGATGCCAATTTCTTGGTGGTGATTGTGTCCCGCAGGGTGCAGGATAGAATCCCTGGGGGGAACAGAGTGAAGGGAAATGGGATCTCGCTGTGTTGCTTCTTCAACAGCATGTGTATCGAGAAGGGTCTCTAAACAAAAAAGTCTTCCAGGAGCTACATGTCTATTAGAATGACGTTCAAGAAACCCACCAGTACCAACTGCAGGCAAACTTACGGAGCAGCGATGAGATCGCTCATGCTTTGCTGGCGTGAATATAAAAATGGTACAGCCACTTGGAAAAAGTTTGCTGTTTTTTATACAATTAGACACAGACTTACCATATGACTCAGCAAGCTTACTCCTATGTACTTACTTGGAGCAGAATGAAAGCTTATGTTCACACAAAAAACTGTACATGAACACAGGCTATATTTGTAATCGCCCGGAACGAGAGATGACCCAGCAGGGGGCTGACTAATGAGACCATGATGTAAAATCAAATACTACTCCGCAATGGAAAAGAATGAAATACAGGTACACATGTGGACGTGAATGAATCTCAGAGGAACGCTTCTGGGTTACAGAAGTCAGACTCCAGCGGCCACAAAGCAGAGAATTCCGTTTCTGATATTCTGGAAAAAGCACACCCACTGGGACAGAGAACGGGTCAGTGAGAGGTTGCCAGGGGCTGGGATGGGAATGAGGGTTGATTATGGAGCATGGGGACGGCAGGGGGTGAGGGAAGCATTTTGTGTCTTGGCCTTGGTGGTGGTTACACGACTCTGCGCATTTACTAAAACTCACAGAACTGTATGTGAAAGAAAATAGGAAGTTTACGGTATGTAAATTATACCTCAATGCTTTCAAGTAAGAAAATATTAGGTCATGTATCTTATAACTTCACATCGATTTATGTCGAAGGATGTATTTGCAATTTAATGCAATGTCCTCAAAGGGAAAATGTATATTATTTCAGCTCCTTTCTAAAAATATGCTCTAACAAAATGCTTAGGAGTTGTTTTTAGCGATTTAGGGATTATAAGTATAGGTGTGGTTTTTTGCTAATAGTGTTCTTCTACAATAAGAAAATGCAATTCTTTACATGAAAAAATTATTTAAAACAGGAAACTAAAATGATAGAAAGCAAAGACGAGAAGATGCTAGCGTGTGTTATTTCTGGGTGGAGGACCCAGGGGTATTACTCTGGGCATTTTTCCCTAATGCCTTTCCCTGGAGTACTGTTTTAAGAATTAAAATTGGTATGGGGCGCCTGGGTAGCTCAGTGGGTTAAAGCCTCTGCCTTTGGCTCAGGTCACGATCCCAGGGTCCTGGGAGCCTGCTTCCTCCTTTCTCTCTCTCTGCCTGCCTCTCTGCCTACTTGTGATCTCTGTCAAATAAATAAATAAAATCTTTAAAAAAAAAAAAGAATTAAATTGATATTATGTAGAGAGCGCTTAGTAACTGTGGTTGCCCAAAGTATGTCAGCTCCTCCCTCCCATATCCTCCAGATCTGGATGATGGGTCCCTTCCAAGCCGGTCTCCGCTGGGTGGTGCTGAGTTTTCTCTAACCAGGCTAGGGGGTTCCCAGAGACTTGGCCAGGGTAGCCCCATCCCCAGCAAAGGGAGTTGACCCTCAAAGAGCTGCAACACAGTAGGCCCTCAGCACCCTGCCTGGGACCTGGCAAACAGTAGGTGCCTAATAATTATTCTTTTGAACAGACAACTGAGCGTGCAGCCGCGATAGAGGTGTCCTATCCCACCCAGCCAGGAAGAAGCTTGACCAGACACGGCGCACCGAGGGACCCACCTCCTTCTCACCGCACCCCAGTTTAGATTTGGGAGTTAAAGCCCTCTCTGGGATGGGCAGAGCGCGCTCCCTTCCCAGCTGCCCCCGCACCTTGCTCTGTCCCTCCCAGGATGGATGCCCCTGGCCTCAAGCAGGCAACGGAATGTTGTGTGGTTGGTTGCCTGGGCAACCGGGGCCTGCTAGGTGGCTGCCTTCTTGGAGTACAAGAGCTCGCTGCCATGCTGCCCTCAACCCGAAACCCCCAGGGCCTTCTGAGTGAGCGCAAGACTCCTGCCTTGTGGAAAGGAAGCCCCGGGACAATTGCAGGGAGAATGGCCGTGCCCTGGGAGGAATATTTCCGACTGGCCTTGCAAGAGAAAGTGCCCGAGTGAGTGCTTCGGAATGGAACTGCGGGGGAAGGGTGGAAGGGGGGCAGAAGCAGGTGGGATGACCCATGCCTTCCCCTTGCCTGTGTCGCACAGCTTCCTTGGGCGATTCCTGGTGGCGTATTACTGTCCCCACTTCACAGAGGAAGCAACTGAGGCTCAGAGGAAAGTGGCATCTGGGCTAGTTAGGGCAGAGCTAGCCGCCCAGGCCCCTCCTCTGTTCCTGATCCCCACCCCTGGCTGACATCCAGCTGAGATTAAATACTTTGGACCGAGGGGGAAAGGAATTCTGTGAACTCCTGCTCTGCTCTCCCTTCGAACTCTGCATTTACAAGGAGGAGTGGAGGAAGCTTGTGGGGTACCTCCTTTGTGTTCTGCAGCGGCTGAGAGTCCCAGGCTCAGGGCCAGAGTCCGGACCGGTGCCGGGACTGCCCTGCTGAACAGAATGTTCAAGCATCCCTTCTGCTGTCTCTACACAGCCACCGTGTAGGGCCGTGCACAACCCCTCCCACTGCCCAACACACACACCCCAGCAAGACTCCAGATCCCAGCCACCTCCTGGAGCCTCGCAGGGAGGTCTAGGGGAGGTCTCACAGCCTTCCAGCCTTCTGGCCACAGCTTGGCCACAGCAAGTAGCTGATCTCCCCTGCACCCCATTCAGCCTTCCACCAACCCCTTCCTTCCAGTTCACCTGGAATTCCCCTTTCTCTCCTTTCTCAACCCCGCCCCTGTCACTGCATCAACTCTGCTCTCAAACTGAGCGTGACTGCCCTCCTCTCCTCTCCCCTACGACCACCAGATCAGACCCACACTGTCTCTGTGTTATCCCAGAACCCCTTCACCATCTCCTGCAGCTGCCCTGCCTCTCCTATGGTTCTCAGCCCCCACAGCAGCCTCGAGAGCCTTCTACAATCCAAAGTCCTTCTCTTGAGGCCTTAGCATTGGCCATTCCCTGCTGGTATCCACGTGTTGACCTCCTCTTGCCCCACGGGTCTCTGCCCAGGTGACCTCAGGGTCTCCTCGGAGAGACATTTTCATCTCCCCATTGAAAGACTTCCTTTTGTCTGCTTAATACTTCATCAGACACCTACCATGTCCTGGCCTTATTTATTATCTGTTAGCTTTATTTCCTGTGCCCCCACCCCAGCAGAATGCCAGCTTCTGGAAGGTGGGGATTTTGTCTGCCTTGCTCACACTTGCACCGCCCCCCGCCCCCCCGTGCCTAGAAAGGTGCCTGGCAGAGTAGTTGCTCTGTACGATATGTTGAATGAATGAACAACTCAACAACTAGTATATGACTCATGGGGGCATTTCAAGCACTAGAGGGGAGTTTGGGGGCCCTGGATCTTGCCTCCTTCATTCCCATCTCCCCCTTGGAGCCCCTCCAGGAAGATCCCAGAGCACAATGTGGACCACCTCCCGCCGGTGCTGCGCCTCCTGGAGAAGAGGCAAGAGCTGATGGATGCGGACCGGGACCTGCAGGCCCAGAAGGAGGTGAGCCTCCACTGCAGTCCCTGAGACTTTTTCGGACCCTGGGCAAAAAAAGAAAAAGAAAAAGAAAAAAAAGGTGGTGAGCAAGGCTTGGGAAATAATGCAGCCAACTTACTAGCTACAGAGTCTGAGATGGGTCCTTTCACCACTCTGAGCTTGGGTTTCCTATCAATGATCAAGTGAGATCAGCTGATGCACATAAGTGCTCACTGAGCACCTACTACGTGCACAATACGGCATTGGGATCAAGAAGTCTCACCACTGTCCCCCTCCGTGGGATTCACAGTCTAAAGGAGACACATGTACAGGTGGGGACGCACTGAGAGGAAGCCCCTCTCTCCACCAAGGGTGGTCAGGGAGGGCTTCCTGAAGGAAGTAATGTCTAGGGATGGGCAAATGGCAAGTCAGCTTATCTCGCAGAAGGGGGGTTTGGGTGAGGAGGGAGAAGATGGCAGAGGGAAGGGCGCATACAAAGATTGGAAGACAAGGACAAAACACAGGAGGACGAGTGTCTAGAAGACAGTGTCAGAGGAAAGGAGTAAAATGAGACCAGAAGGAAGGACAGGGACGGTGGCATGCAGGGGCATTCAGGCTTCATCATGCATGATAGGAGCATTAGGTGGATTTGAGCAGGGGTGTAGGGACTAGATCAGGGACTACAGACAACAGAAGTAGGAACCCGAAGGTGCTGTATAACTTGAACCCCCACACACACACAGAAACCCACCCCTCACCTCTCCCCAGGTGTTCCAGGCTGTGACGGCAGCCCAGAAACAGCGCTGGGAACAGTTGGAACAGAAGGAGCGGGAGCTAAAGGGATCTTTTGTCCACTTTGACAAGTTCTTGCAGGTGGGTGGATATGGCTGGGGGAGGGGAGGCAGTTCATCGGGTCACAAAGTCACCATCCTGTCGGGGCCAGACCTGCATGTGAATTTTAAAAGTGGGCTTATTGGGGGCCCCTGAGCAGCTCAGTTGGTGAAGTGTCTGCTCATGACCTGAGCCCAGGGTCCTGGGATCCAGCCCCACCTTGAGCCCCACGTCTGGCTCTCTGCTCAGCAGGGAGTCTGCTTTTCTCTCTCTCTCTCTCTCCCCCTGCGCCTCTCCCAACTTATGCTCTCTTTGACTCGATTACTCTCTCTCAAATTAATAAACAAAACTTTTTTTTTTTTTTTTTTTAAGTGGGCTTACTGGGGCGCCTGGGTGGCTCAGTGGGTTAAAGCCTCTGCCTTCGGCTCAGGTCATGATCCCAGAGCCCTGGGATCAAGCCCCACATCAGGCTCTCTGCTTGGCGGGGAGTCTGCTTCCCCCTCTCCCCTCTCTCTGCCTGAATCTCTGCCTACTTGTGACTTCTGTCAAATAAATAAAATCTTTAAAAAAAAAAAGCATCTTTTAAAAATAAATAAATAAATAATGGGCTTACTAATACGAGAGGGAGTAGTAGGAAATACGCACGCACTGACTGAGGCATTTGAGTTTTTAAAAAAACATAGGGGTAAGTGAGGGACCAAAATCAGAGATCCTGGCTGAGTCTGCCCACAGGCCATCTGTGTGCTACCTCCCGCGCGGCGTGCCGGTATTGGGGCGGGTAGAAGCGGTTAGCCCCGCGCGCTCCCCAGTCGTGAGGGCAGTCGCCTCCTTTCTGTCCGCCTCCCCAGGACACCGAGGCCCGGCGCAGCCGCGCGCTGCAGAGGGCGGCAGAGGAGCGGCTGCAGGCGAGCCGCCAGGAGGCGGAGGCACAACGGCTTAGGATCCAGCTGGAGGAGCTGCAGCGGGAGCGCGCGCGATTGCAGCGCCGGCTGGAGCGCCTGGAGCCCTGCGCGCGCCTGCTGGGCCAAGTGTTGGAGCAGCTGCCGGAGGTGAGGCCCTGCAGGAGGTTTTGGGGCTCGGCGCCACCGCGCAGCGTCGCATAGCCTCTGGGACGGCTTCCCGGGTGTGCACTACTGGAGTGCTGACTGTATGCCAGGAATCACCACTTATTGAGCACTGGCTGTATGCCTGGGGACAAAGTTTGTTCTTGAATTCTCCCCAAAGCCCGGTGAAGTGAGTCCTGCTCTTGTCTACCGCATTTTATAAATGGGGAAACCGAGGCTCACAATGGTAACTTGCACTCAGGGACACACAGGCGAAGGGGGAGGTGCTGTATCCAGGCACTCAGTACCAGTTGAACGGAACAATCACGGGAGTGAGGCTGGGCTAGGCTTAATGCTGGAGTGGGGAGGGGCGGGACGAGCCCTCATTTCTGGGGTAGGCGCTGTGTGATGCCCTCCTTTGGCACATGGGCTAACCGAGGAGGAAGCGCCGGAGGGCCAGGTGGCATGGAGACCCCATCTTGACCCCACCCCAGTTCCAGGACGTCCCCGAGCTGGTGGCGCGCTTGGACGGCCTGGCCGATATGCAGGCGGCGCTGAGGCTCACGGAGCGCCAGCGGCAGGCGGAGCTGGAGGAGGCCCGCGCGCAGCTGCAGAGGCTGCGGGACGCGGGGCAGGACGAGCTGCTGGGGCAGAGCCAGCGGCGAGCGCAGCTGCTGGAGCGCCTGGAGGCTGCGAGGGAGCGAACGCTACGCTGGGTACGGCCCTGCCGGGAGGAGGCGCCCACCCGGGACCCCAGCCGCCCATCGCCCAAGACGAGTGCCAGGGTTCCTAAGATCAGGCAGACCGATGCTTACCCCGGACGGGCGGCGGCGCTAACGGGCAGGTGCAAGCATCAGAAAGCGCTTTAAGGGGGCGCCTGGATGGCTCAGTGGGTTAAGCCTCTGCCTTCGGCTCAGGTCATGATCTCAGGGTCTTGGGATCAAGCCCCGCATCGGGCTCTCTGCTCAGCAGTGAGCCTGCTTCCTCCTCTCTCTGCCTGCCTCTCTGCCTACTTGTGATCTCTCTCTCTCTCAAATAAATAAATAAAATCTTAAAAAAATAAAAAAGAAAAGAAAGAAAGCGCTTTAGGGCACCAGGGGCCTGGCCCAGCAGATCCTGACCACTGTGCCTGCTTTCCTCCCCCGGAGGCGCCTCTGCGCCCCTGGAGGGAAGAGGACAGGCCCCAGCCCTCCTCAGCAGGCTCCAACCCTGATCTGGAAGGGGGCGGGGTGTTCTTCAGGAATCCAAGTGGATTCAGATCCAGAACACAGCGGCTGAGAAGACCCTTGTCCTGGGCCGCAGCAGAATGGCGACGCTGAACCTGTTCCAGCTGGTGTGCCAGCACAAGGCGCAGCCCCCCACCCTGGCCATCGAGGACACCGAGGGGCAGCTGGAGCAGGTGCGCTCCCTATTCTGTCCCCTCCCACCCCCATACCCTCAGGAACCTCACCTACGCTGGGCTAAGCATGATTTCTCTGTGAGCCAAGATGCCGGCACTCCAGAGGTGGGCTCGGTGGCCTCCTGGGACCCCTGCTGAGGAGGCCTGGGTTGGGTCTTGGCTCCGAGGGGCATCTGCTCCGTGGCCACAAGGAAGTCATGCTCCTCTCTGGGTCTCAGTGCTCTCACCTGTGCCCAGGGGCTGGGGCTGTGTACTGACCACGCACACGTTCATGACAAGTCTGTCCTTTGTCCCAGGGTCAAACAGCACAAACAAGTGACAACATTGATGAGAAACCAGGTGGAGACTCACCTTTAATTAACCCCTGACCCTCTTGCTCCCTGCATGGACGGGCCTCAGCTTCCCTAGGGAGGGAGAGGACGGGGCTGGGTCCTTGTCTTTCTTTCTGCAGAAGTGCATCACAGATGGTGCACAGAAGTGTACCAAGTCATTCAGGTTTGCAAGGCTGTAGAACGTGTGACATGGTTTACAAGGGAAAGGGGGTGGGGTGGCTCTGACTTCAGATGCCTCCGTGGCTTCTAATGGGGCCCCAAAGCATGGTCCCTTTCAGTGGAAGAAATATGAAAGGCCCAGCTGCCCCTGCCGCTCCTGTCCTGCACCCCACACCCCAGATCCCAACCAGACACGGAGAACTCGGGCCCCGGGAGCCTACCTTTGTGCCACGGGCCGAGTGGGACGGGTCTGTGGACACCACTGTTCTCTCAAGTGTGGCCCGGCACCCTGAGCTACATGAGACGACTCCAGGAGGGACAGAGGCTCAGGATGGAACGGGCAAAAGCCTGTCCCTTTTCAACCGACCCTGATCCTACTAAGGAGATGGGGCGAGTGAGTGTGCCTTTAACCCCTGTGGGGCTCCCTGGGCCGGAGCCTCACGCCCCCTCCAGGCAACAGCGGAGTGCAAGAGTCACCTGGGTTTCTTGTGCCTTGTGTTTTTCCACTGCCCCTCCGCTTGTGACAAGGGGTAACTTGATTCTATTTTTGTTAGAATTGTTTTCCTTTTCAAGTGTGACAAAGGGGAAGGGAGAGCCCAAGGGTAAGTTGGCCTCCAGTTCCGGCTCTTGGCAGTGGACATTAAATTCATTATCAATAAATAAGTGACTTAAAAGGAAATATGGGAGGTTAACCCATGGGGACGAGAGCAGGTCAAACACCAGTGAATGTGACTGATCCGATTCAAAGGGGGGAAAATGAATTAAGGGAAGTGAAAATACTCGTTTAATTTTAATGCAGGTGATAACCAGGTAGGAAAACAGAGAGTGTCTGCTCGCAGGCCAGTTAGGAGGCTTGGATGGAGGCCTGAAGGACCCAGAACAGTCTAGGGCAGGTTGGCCGGCCCCTGGGAACCACTGCCATCACTTTTAATAGGGGTCTCCACCCCCAACCCGTGCTCTGCAGCATCCTGTGTTGGGGACATGGCGGAACTGGACACTCAGGGGCTGGGATGTGACTGGCTGTGTTGGGGACCCACAGGTGAAGCTGTTCATCCTGGACCTCTCCGCCATGCTGGCCAGTCTTCGTCAGGCCAAGCCCACACCTGCCTCCCAGCCCTGACCCAGGTAAGCAGAGGGACAGGGTGGCCCCCCACCCTGAAAGGAGGTGCACATTTCCTGTGGGGTGTGTGCTAAGAGGTCCTCACCTGAGAGATGGGAGGGGGCTGTGTCCGCTCAGACTACTGTGGGGAGTACAGAACCGGCATACAGCAAGTACTAAATAAATGTGGGCCATGTGGGGGGCACCAATCTGTCATCCACCACATGGCCTGGGACCAGATCCTCCCTCCCAGGGCAATCACGGCATTAAACAAGCTGATGTGTGTCAGGGGTTTGGAATGAAGCCTGATGCAAATTCTGGTAAATTCTAGAAGAGTGTTTGGTAAGTAAAGTAAAATAGGACCAGCACGGGGGCCATACAGCAAGCACCCACAAGTGGGCACCCGTCCTCTATTGTGGATCCATGGCCTGAGAATCCAACTGCTAGAGGCTGTCCTTAACCTTCCCAGGACCCCACATTGGAGCTGGAGAGCACTGGGCTCGGAAGGTGGAGGCCAGGACCGGTTCTGACCTGTGGGTGTGGTGGGGGCCGTGTGAGTCCCCTTCACAGCCAGAGGAGGAGCCGCTGAGCCCTCTGCCCCACACCCCCCCCCCCACCCCCAGCCACCACCCTCTTGACTGTTGGCCACAGTAGCTGGGGCTTTCATAGCTGGGTCCGCCCCTTCCGGCTCCGTGGTAGACTGCACTCCCAGTCCGCTCGAGATGCTTAATAAAGGTTTATTACATTAAAAATACATCACCAGGCCTTAGGCACTCAGGGCTTCGCCCCATGTGGCCACCACCTCTGAACTTGTGAACCACCCAGGACACATGGAAGCAGCAGCAGCTGAGTGGCCAACTTGGGTTTTGGCTGCCCCCACCCGGCTGGCAAACCCCTGTGCATCCTTGAAGACTGAGCATGAATGGCTCCACCTCGGGCAGAGGTGGCCACGGCCCCGGGTGGCCAGACAGCACCCCTTTCCTGCAGGGAGCTCCGCCAGTGGCCGGCCCAGGGCCAGGCACACGGTGGCACTCGGGAACATCTACTGACGTCCACCCCTGCAGCACGCGAGGAGCCATGGGGCAGGGTCACCTGCCTTACATCCTCTTCCTCATCTTGCCCTTCTTGGCGTGGGTGCCCCGGCCAAAGGCACCCCTCTGCAGCTCCTGGGCTCGGCGCCGGTTACGGGCGGACAGCTGCTTCAGGCCCCCTCGCTGCAGGAAGCGCAACTTCTCCGCCCGGCGCCGCTGCTTCAAGATCTGCTGCTTGGTCTTGAGCTCTGAGCGCACACGGCCTGCGGGGGCGCCCGGACTGCGGGGCTGGGATGCACCTGTCAGGAATTCAGGGAGCTCAGCCTTCTGGTCTACTCCTAGGGCCTCCTCTTCCCGGAAGCCTCCAGACCGCCCCCCGCCCCCCCGCCCATTCTGGGTTCACTGGTGTGGCCCCAGGGTCTGGCTCATTGTAGGTGCTCAATAAAGCTTCCATAGTCTGCTGCCGTGGTCAACAGCATGGACCCTTGAGCCCACACCGCTGGGGTCCAAATCCCAGCCGTGACCTCTCAGACCCTGAGCAAGTCACTTAAGTTCTCTGAGCCTCCGTTCCCCGCTGTGAATTATGGGACTCATGGGTCCCAACGAGGAGTCGGTTGAGGAGGAGGTGTGTACAGTGCTGGGAACGAGAGCCAACCCACAGTAAGGGCCTCCCAAGTGCACTATCATGATTACAGACCACTCGATGGAGATTTACTGAGCATGAGCCCTATGCTGGGCACCGGGGACCCAGCCCTGACTGGACAGACTCCAATCCCTATTTCCACAGACCGCATGCTCTCGGCATGTTAAGCCGTTAGCTTAACTTCCTTGGGCAGGAGAGAGGGCAGAGAAGGCCAGAGAGGCGAAGGGCTGGGCCCCAGGTCACATAGCGGCAGCAGTAGACATCATGGCCCCACCTCAGCCTGTTCTCCCAGGGATCTAGAAGGGCACCTCCCCCCACTCCCGCCTCCCTGGCTCCCCAATAAACCCTAGCCTCCCCTCCTCTACCATGTTCCCTCTCCCTGTCTGGCTCCTCCCCACCCGTAAGAGTGACCTTTTCAGGGCTTCCACACAGATGATCATTACGGCGGTCCCAGATGTCTCCACAGGGGCCAGGGTGCCCGACAGGGACTCATCACCCCCAATGAGGACAAAGCACAGAGGGAGAATGGCTGTTCCTTCCTGAAGCCCACAGGCAGACCCAGAGCAGTGGCTAACACTGGGAGCTGAGCCATGAGGGGTGAGAGGCCCAGGGGAGGCAGGGGCATGTCCACAGAGGCATAGAGAGATGGAGACAGACAGAGACACCAAGAGGGAAAAGGGAGCACAGAGAGACAGGGAAGGAGAGACCAAATACAGAGATGCCTGTGTAGAGAGAGGGAGAGATATGATGAGGGAGAGAGATGAAGACAGAAAGGGGAGAGAAAGACCAAGACAGAGGAAGAAAGGAAACAAAAAATGAAATGACAAGGGCGACAGATGGAGACAGAAAGTCTGAGAGATGGGAAGAAAAGGAAACAAAGACAGAATGAGGAGAAAGCAGCCGAGAGGAGCAGGGACAGGGATGCACAGTCAGAGAGAGGAAGAGAGGAACGGGGACCCAGCAAGAGAGAGTGACAGAGAGGAAGTTTCTGAGAAAACCCAAGACAGAGACAGACAGAGGAAGAAATGTAAGAGACCTAACCAGGGAGGAGAGACGCTGAGGGGAGCGGACAGAGCCCATTCACATCCCACTGCAGCCTCACAGAGAACCAAGGCCGGGATGATCCAAAAGACACTTGCCAACCTGCTCTGAGGACCATCCTACCTTGGCCTCTTCCGCGCTTCCCACCTCTTCGCTCTGGGCCTCGCGGCTGGGACGTTCCTTCGTCTTCTGAATCCCGATCATCGATTTTCTGTTTCTGTTTCCACTTCTGGTAGCTGGGGAGCCGAGTTAAGGAGGCTACGTGCGGGACCATGATGCCCTAGATACCCCTGGGTGGGGAGTAGGTCCTGCACCCACTCCAGCAGATACAGGTACCACCTCTGGGGGCGGGGCAACAGGAGCTGCTCAGCCCCGCCCCAACACCCAGAGTACCCAGTGAGAGAGGCTGCCCTGTCCCCTCCCCTCAACCCGCGCCCGCCTCTAGGGGCTGCTCGCCCCGCCCCCGGCCCCGCCCCTCCGGATACAGGTCCCGTTTATAGGAACTGCTGATGTAGCGGCCACTCTCTGTCTTGATCTTTTTCTTGTCCTCCTGTCCTGACTGTCCCACAAAGCGCTTCTTCTTCCGGTCCCTGCAGGAGATGGAGTCGGGAGAGCTAATGTGGAAGGAGGTGGCCTGGCGCAGCCTACTTTCCTTCGGCGCCTGTTTCTTCCCCACCCTCACAAGGGAAGCAGCTGGCCCATGTCCAGCATACAGCAAGTGCTCAATTAAGGCCCATTCCCTGCCCCTCCTCGCCTCTTCCTAGCAGCCCAGATCTCAAAAGATGGTGTGGGGGGGTCACTGGGAATTGGGGTCCCTGGATCAGGGTTAGGGGCCCAGTGAGGGTACCAATCCTACTCTGCCACCTCCTGGCTTGGTGACCCTGGGTTGAGTCACGCCATTTCTCTCGAACCAGAGTCCAAATGGGAGAGACGGGTCATGAGCTCTGTCGAGAAAGACGAGCCAGCAGGAAGGACAGGTGGACCCAGATCCCTGTTGTGTACGATCAAATCACGGGCACAGGCTGTGGTGGTGGGGGTGATAGGGTCAGTGTCCTTGCCATGTGCGATCACGTGGGACGACATGGAAGGGCTCACAGTCCACGCTGCACACAATCGAATGTGGGAGGGTGACATTTCCTGCTCTGGGGGAGCAAATGGGAGCCCACCTGCCTCCTGTGTGGGACCACAGGGGGCGTGCGCTCGCCAACTCGCTTGCTGGCTCACCACTTCAGCTGCTGCTGGCCTCTGGTCAGGTTCTGGGCTTCGTCCCCCATCAGGTCCAGCACAGCGCCAGCCACCTGCTGCTCAAATGCGCCCCCGTCCCCACCAATGCTCAGGCTGCAGGCAAAGGGAGAGGACACGCCACAGGGTTAGTGGGGGGCCCATCAGGCCCCATCTGCCTGACCCCAGGACCAGCCACTCACCCCCGCTCACTGTCGAAGTCCTTGGGCCGGTAGGGGATGTAGAACTCCTGGTCCCGATGCCGGGCCTCCTCCCTCCGCCTCTTGGCTCTCCGGTCAGGTCCCGGCTGTGGCCGCTTCCGGCCCATGACCTCCGTGAAGACATCCTGGCAGATGGACACCAGTGTCACACCTGCAGCCCCCCGGGGAAGCCACTGGCCTCGTCACCTGCCAGTCCGGCTAGAGTTAAGGGCCAGCGGCTTCCAGGACTTTAAAACTTTGATACTTCCAGGTGCCTGGATGGCTCCGTCATTAAGCATCTGCCTTCAGCTCGGGTCGTGATCCCGGGTTCCTGGGATCGAGAGCCCATTCGGGCTCCCTGCTCAGTGGGAAGCCTGCTTCTCCCTCTCCCACTTTCCCTGGTTGTGTTTCCTCTCTTGTTGGGCCTCTCTCTCTGTCAAATAAATAAATAAAATCTTTAAAAGAAAACAATAAATAAAAATAAAAGTCTGGTACCTCTCTCTGTGCCCTGTTTCCTGCTCTGCATTGTAGGATGACCTTGGCACCACAAGAGCTGGCCGGGTGTAAGAGGAGGAAGCTGGGGGCCAACTGGGGCAAGACCCCTTTCCAGGGGCACCTGGGTGGCTCAGTGGGTTAAAGCCTCTGCTTTCGGCTCAGGTCATGATCTCAGGGTCCTGGGATCGAGCCCCGCATCGGCCTCTCTGCTCGGCAGGGAGCCTGCTTCCTCCTCACTCTCCGCCTGCCTCTCTGCCTACTTGTGATCTCTGTCTGTCAAATAAATAAATAAAATCTTAAAAAAAAAAAAAAAAAAGAATCACTTAAGACCCCTTTCCAGCTCCAGGCTGGTCCCTCAGGCTGTTTGACCAAGGCAAGGCCCTGCCCCTC